TCTATATCAAATCGCAACCGTATCTATTCTAAATCTGTGTCGATTGGTCACGGCTGTACTATGCGTGTTACCTTCCACAAATGGAACGCATTGCAGTAGGCGTGAGTATTTGACCATTTAACAAATCGAATTGTTGAGAGAAATGATCAAAGTGAGGGCCTGTAAGGCAGCGCAGAGCACCTCGGCACAATAACGACGCCATGTTTTCTGACATGGCTTTTGGCCATCACACCACGCGGCTCCGGCATCTTTTAGACCCCACATCGGTCCCGAGCACTCCAACCAGGCCGTAGCCGATGACAACCTCCCCACCCTCGCTGACGACCGTTTTGACAAGCCGACGATCCTTTCTATTTCAGCCTCATCGCGTCCCACAGCGCGACCGAGATGCTGCCGTGCTCCGTCTCATGCGGCGAGCGCTATTCAATCTATGCCTGTGGCTACTCTGCATATCCGAGAGGTTATGGCGGTTGAGCTTCATACCGCACTCCTTTGCAAAGTCAGGTAGGACCACGCGGTATCAAGATATGACGGCCGGGTTTTTGACTTTCCCTGCACCAAAAAGCGGCCATCGTATCTTGTCACCGTGTGGGTAAATACATGTAAGGTAAAATAGCCGACATCTTTGGCGCGGCGGGACGTCGCACACAACATACGTGCAGACTGCAGGGAGGATCGTCGTTCGAACTGCAAAACTCATCACAACCTTATCTACTACTTCGCTGTGGAATTCTAGCGACTCATTGTTTGCGGCCACCGTTTATTTGGATACTCTCTACTTCATGAATGTGAAACGGGAGAATCTCACCATCTAATAAAACCATTGAGAAAAAACAAGGAATCACAGGTTGCCAGATGAAGCATAGAGCTAAATTCCCAGGTATTGACATAAGCCTCGTCCTTGAAGGCATGATGGTCTTTCCTAAGATTTCTGACTAGTATTCTTGGATTGTCGACCTCATCAAGAATGCTATTTGTTCGCACGTCGTTCGCCGTTCAGCCTCATTCCGACGATCAGGCTTCTCCATAAAACCCGTTGTCTGAACATCGTGGGCCAAAAAATGGACCGGCCGCTGGTGACACCTTTGCGGTGGGTTCAGAAAATGGGACTTAGAGATCTTGCTTCAATGTCTGCTGTTGACACGATTGCAACAGGCACAAAGGCCAATCGAGCTTGTCGGTGCATATGAAATGGTCAAGACCCGACAGAGATCAAGTTTGATCGCCTAAAGCTCTCTGAACTCATTCGGCCGCTGAGAGGGACATGCCAGTGGTCCTTAGAATTTTGTCTTATTTTCCAGATGTCTGCGGCTAGTCCACATAGCAGCTTACCGCTGGCTTGTGCTAGATGTACTCATCATCAAGTCTCATCGTCAGAAAATCGGAAGTTTTCTCGAGCGAAGCAGCTGAGATCTCGGACAATGACCTTCCCTTACTTGAAGTAACCGTTACTAGGCCAAGTTTCCTGTCTGATGCCAAGATCTTGACATTCGCGGTTCTACTCTAGGCACGTTGCTGAGGGTAAGCATGAGGCGCCGCAGTTACCAGAGTTCGCATGCATAATGATAACCTCCGGTACAGATCGACGTGTTTCGCGGGGTTGGCGGAGACGCTGAGGTTTTATGGTGGTCCTCACCAGGGATTGAAGCTATCGTGGCATTTGAGAACCCCATGTGGGGTTGGTGAAATATAATGACTGTGGAATTTTGAGGCGTTCGATGCCTTTTCACCCCAGCTCTTGACTCGAACTCGACAGTGCACGCCAATGACCACTCTGAGAATACCAAAATCCTCCCAAGTTGCCATCTTGGCTGGGATTGAGCAACAAAATCTTGGAAATTTGAGGCATTTCCTGTTTCTTCACAAATGTGATCTGCCGTGATTCATCTTCCCGATTCTGACCGACAATGATGTAGATCAACGTTGTCATTTTCTGTGCTGTAACATTAGTCGAGTTGATTCACATCTCTTTCCCTGCAGCCTTTGGGTTGAGTTTCCCTCGCTGACGCCATTGCTGACTCGTGCGACGTCGAGCATTGATTGATGCAATCCTGTGTTATCTTTGTTCTCTGCATGGGAGTGAGAGCTATGCGCTGAGTTGCTGCCACGTTTGCAATATGGCTGGATGAGGCGTAGTCCTGCACGCTTGCTCACAGCGACGGGCGCAGATGGTATCAACTAGCATAGCGGTAGATTACGGCGATTGGGAAAGCTCTCCTGAGTCCTATGGCGCTGTTTCGCTATTATTCTCGGCTACCTTTGCGGGTTTCTCTTCTTCTCTTGACCAGCCTCTTCAGTCCGCCGTCCGGACGCAAACCGGCCTCATTGCCTGATCCCGATGCATTAAGACGTAATCTTACCGCAGCCGTAGGTTACTACCTACGGAATTGGGCGTGAAATCCCTCATGAAACCAAGTTTGACTGTGCAGCCTCGCCAGGGTTCAGCGTCCAGCAAAGGTTTGAAATTTAGATCATCATCCAATGAAGATGGCCGTCATAGCGACCAAGACTCGAAAGCGAAATCCATTATCAATGTCATGCCGGTGTGGTGGAGCTTTGGCCCCATTCATCGGTGTGAAGGTCAACTTCACCGCCAATAAGACGAGTTCCTATTGAGATTTTTGGTCTACCTGCTTGACTGCTTCATGCACCGTGCCGAGAGCTGAGGGCGATATTTTCCACCTTGCAGCCCTTCTCCACCAGAGATCGTCTCTCTGTCTGCCTGGCTTGCGGCTTGCCTGCTGGTGTTCTGCGAGTTGATACCCCTATCATATCTTCTCGCGGTGAGGTCGGGCGGTTCCTCTTGTTGTTAGTGCAGCTCATGTCCACTTTACGAGGCATTTTGTCCAGTGAGAAAGTCTGTATTGTAGTCCACAATCACGCCAGGCTGGGAAAAAGTGCTCGTCGCCTTGGTTGAGATAAAAGATAAACTGGAGCCTTGCGTGGGTCACTGATAGGGCCTTGTCTCAGGGCGCGAAATAGATAGGGGGGTCGCGTCGTCCGGGATGCATCGATGTTCATCGACATTCCCGAAGTTCTCAACAGGGATTGTGGAATTCTTTGTACCCTTTCTCTCTTTTTTTTTTTTTTTTTTTGGCGAGGCTACGCCACGGGATACTTGTTCTCTCTCTGTGTGTTTGTGTCGGACCAGAGGACAATCCGGGCGTCTCCTGCCGATCTACTACCCGGTGTGTAGTAGGCGCTTCCAACTTGCTGGGCTGCCTGGTTGTCAACTTGGCATACATGTGAAAATCTTCTTTGGACAAGCCGTTGATCACTGGGCCCTACCGCCTTAGCCTTCGGAGCCGATTTTGCCATTTGATTTAATGTTGTCTTGGTTAGTCGGTGTATCCGTACCTCCGTTGGCTATCTCTCTACCTACCTTGCAGATGATTGTTGCTCAGAGTTGAGACATTGAGAAAACTCTGACCGCCAATCTTTGGCCATCTCTACTGTCGGCAAAGAACACTCTCACATTCAAGAATGATACATAACTGTTCCGGTCAAGATTGAACAGGACAGATGGACTTCCGCCGATAAGACAAGGCGCAAAACCCAATGGCTATCAAGCTGTTGCAAACGCACAGAACTTCTGAAGAGGCAACCCACTGATACAGACCTTGACATTGGCTGCCCAGGCTGAGGAAAGAGCGGGCCCTTCCGAACACTCCCGATAGGGGTCCTGCAGGCAATATGCCTCCATCTGCCTCAGTGCTTTCATCTCTTGTCTTCATTTACCTCCCGGGATCCCTCAAAGTCGCCCTAACAGTGACCACGATACATCAGGACCCTCCAGAGGCTCCAATGACATCAGTGAAAAGTCTGAAACCACGTTCCTGAGTCTTGCTGGAAGGCAGGGCCAATCATCGATCTGTGGCAGGGATGAATAAGTTTTGTCCCAAAAGGCCCAAGCGACAAGACGCTAGAACAACTTGTCCAGCCTTTGCCCTTCAACAATGCGAGATACATTGCCCATGTACATGTGGAATGGCAAAAGTCGCGACTCGCGTTCATCTTGCCTCGCACACCCCATCTCAACATCCATGCCATGTCATCCCGTCCTCTGTAGCGTATCCGTAGTCCTGTTCCACGGCTTCAACGCTCGTTTAACGGGGTGGACTCCGGTGTCCTGAACTCGTACCTGCACCACGCATCTCACACTCAATATGAGCATGTGCGGGAACTCCTCGGGCTTCAAAGATCCATCTTCTGATGGGGCATACTAAGCACCACGTTTTACAATGGTCCACTTCCACCGTGATGCCGTCGGCAGCTTGACGTCATAACAGGCCAAGTTGCGTCTGTCGCTTAGTGCGGCTTTTCCATTTTACACAATATACCTTACCCAGGATATTGTACGTACTGCCTTGAGGAGTCTTGCAAGCCGACCCAGCGTTTACGTGGAAACGTCGCCTACCGAACCCCCCTACCGTTCAGCTCGATATCGATGCCGATTACTGTGCCTCGCTGATGCCTCGCAAGTCTACCCGGCTGCGGCTGAAACGGTGCCTAGTGTACGGATATGGATAGTTTGTCCTCGGGAATAATTGACCGAATATAGTACCTTGGTTTCTCGAGGCTTGGCTCGTAGGAACTTGGGATCACTACAGCGATTCCTGCAGCGGGCTCCAGTTTTTCTCTCTCTCGCGTCGTAAAATTTCTCACTTTGAGTGTAAGATTTGCGCTAATGTCGAGGGCAATATTCGCCACAACCGCCGAAAATCTTGAGGCTCAACAATGCGATTTAGTCCTTTAGTTGAGCCTCATACCATAAGGTTCAGAGCAGTCAATTCATCTGATACCTCGCTTATCCCGCTAGACATGTAGCACATGAATCGAGTGTAGCAGCCAGTTCTCGGAGCTTTGGCGGTGGGAATAGCGAACTGAGGCCTGCCTCCACCTCCTACAATAGACAACGTATAACCGTCAGAGAGACCGAGGACACCCTGACTCGGACGTCGTCCATCGGCGCAGCATCGGCGGAGACACGGCACGTCATCGGCCCATTCACCGGCGGAGCAACGGCTCAGCATCGGCGGAGAAGTTCTACGTCATTGGCTCCAGTAGCAGCGGGTCAAAGGCCCAGAGATAACGGGGCATCAACCTGGTACCGTCGAGACAACGGACGAATACCGACTGGGAACCGCCGGCACCGACTCGAAATCGACATTGAGATACCGACTCAACACCAAGTAACACCAAGCACTCGCAAGGAGGCACCGACCCTCAATAATCTGTACGGCGTACGGGGCAACATGTTGGAGAACGGGTCCCCTCCAAGACGGGGGGCATCAACCCAGCACAGACGGGACATTCACGGCGGGTCCGCGTCTGGCGACAACAGAGGACGCCATCGGTCCGAAAATGGTAATCAGAATCAACTGTAGTAACTAGGCACAAAGAGCGAGACGTCGAAAAGGATAAAAAGGAATAGATAACTCGGCAACATCTGCTGTTTTTTTGGAAGCATCACTCGCACATCAATCACAATCAACGGCCTCAACCAATCCAATAACCTCTCTTGATACCCATACAACTCTTTACTTCTCAACATCAACTACTACAACATTCACATCATTCACAATGGCCGCCCAATTTGCTACCCGTCAGCCTGAGCTCGGCATGGAGAAGGTTATGCCTACTCGTCAGGACTCTGGATATGCCTCCCCCTGCGACTCTCCTCGCCTCACCGTCCGCCTCAACGACGGCAACGAAATCCCCCAGATCGCTCTCGGTGTCTACAAGGCCCCCAACGGCCAAGAGACTGAGGACGCTGTCATCGCCGCTCTCGACGCCGGCTACCGTCACATCGACTCCGCTGCCAGATATGCCAACGAGGAGGCCTGCGGTCGTGCCCTGAAGCAGTGGTTCCAGAAGACCAACACCCCCAGATCCGAGGTCTTCGTCACCACCAAGCTTTGGGACGCTGACCACGGCTACGAGGCTACCTTCAAGGCTCTCTGCGACTCCCTCGAGAAGTTCCAGCTCGAGTACTTTGACCTCTACCTCATCCACTCCCCCTCAGACGACAAGGAGAAGCGCCTCGCTTCCTGGAGAGCTCTTGAGACTGCCCAGCGCCTCGGCAAGGTCCGCTCCATTGGTGTCTCCAACTTCAGCTCCCACCACATTGAGGAGCTTCTCCAGGAGACCACCGTTGTCCCCGCCGTCAACCAGATCGAGGTTCACCCCTTCTGCCAGCGCCAGGACCTCGTCGACACCTGCCGCAAGCACGGCATCGCCATTGAGGCCTACTCTCCCCTCGCCCGCGGCAACAAGCTCGAGGACCCCACCATCGGCAAGATCGCCGAGAAGTACGGCAAGAGCCCTGCTCAGATCCTTCTCAACTGGAACGCTACCCGCGGCAACATTGTCCTCCCCAAGTCCCTGGCTGCCCACCGAATCCAGTCCAACTTCGAGTCCTTCGACTTCGAGCTCTCCCAGGAGGACATGGCTGTCATTGACGCCCTCGGTGCTGAGAACTACGTTACCGGTACCCTGCACAAGGAGTAAGGAATGTCTCATTAAGATATTTGGCCTGAGGGCACTCCAGTTCGGCAACACCCACCGCTGGATCTTCCAGCTAACAACTGAGCTTTCCTCCATCCTGAGAGCATTGGAACAGCCATTTGCATTGCCGGCGTGACGAAATCCGCACGTCGTCCATCCAGGACATTAGAAGGAGTTGATTGCCATCGACGCCACTTGGCGTTCTATTCCCCCGTCGAAATATTTGGATAGGAGTTTGGGTTATTCGTTTTATTTTTGGGAGGACATAAAGACATAGACATTTCATCTAGACAAGCGAGCTAGACTGCAAGCTGGGCTTAGCCTGGTACGAATCTTACGCCCCATTTCTCACCTTTGCTCCCGATGGTTCCTTTCCGTGACATTTTGAACCGACTTGGCCAATAAAAGTAAACCAATCGGCACGACTCAAGCTTGTGGGCAGTGGTAGCTGGTCTCCAATACACAAGAAGATGATGTTCCGGCGACGTTGAGTTGATCGATAAGATTATGGGACCCTCCCAGACTATGATCGGATCAACCTCAGGACCTTGGTGTGTGGGCACCGCGGGTTCACGATGCAGGTGCCAGATCTTTGGGACGGTCGCTACAATCTTCCCGCGTGGATTTGGAGAAAAAGAGGGGCCGGGGAGAAAATGCTGGTTCGGGGGTACCGAGTTTATATTTGCTGTCATGTTTGATGAAAAGGTGACAAACATAGCATCGGATTTGTCGTACATCCCGACTACGACTCATCGACCTGAGGGCCCTCAGTACGGTCACAAAGCCGACTTGATGTTTATTTTTTCGACATATTTCGTGTTCAGTAATGCCGCGATAGCTCATGCCGCTTTGTCCACACCCAGCCAGCCAAAGTGGACAGCAAAATCTCATAAGCCCATGCTTGGTTCGAATTGAAGATCCAATGGCATCGCATCCAAGGTATTTGCGAGCTCTAGAGCCGATGCCATAGGCCAGTCCCAGACATTCCATTGCAGCTGGTCAAGTACCGGCTGCTGGGGTTCTCTAGCTGAAAAGGTCTTTGTCCGGAGCATATCGAGAACATCGGCACATTGATTGATGTGCCCATTAGAATCGTCAGCTCTCAAATGACGTAAAGTTGTAGCGCATGTCTTCACCAAGTCTTCTGCCTCATCATCTCCAGCAGGTGGGTGGCCTTTCCACCTCGCAAATAATATTGTCAGACCCGCCTGCCACAACATGTGCAACCCGTTTGGATAGAGATGGGCGATGATGATGGAATCTGTCCTTGCGGCGTCCATCTCCAGGACCGAGTCCGACATGATCGCAGCAGTCAGTCTTATCAGCTCAGCCGAAGCACGACCGCACGCTTGCAAGGAAACTTGAAATTGAGGATCAGCTGTTGTGAAGGCAAGTGCAGGCCGATGAACATGCACCGTGGCGTTGTAAAATGCAGCGCGTAGGAAAGCCACCTCAAAGGTGTCGATCGAGACCGTCGAGGATAAGTCTGCGCTATCGTCCTCCAAGTCTATGACCTTATCCGTCGGCAACATCCGCTCCCATAGTGTAAGTTCAGCTTGCAGTTGTGTAATTTTGGCTATCCCGCCGCGCCGTCTAGTCGTCGAGTACAGCTTCTCTAGAGCCTCTCCCACAATGACTGCGAGTTTGAACATGCAGAGAGCCGTGTCGACTTGGGACCTTTCTCCGGGTAAGGGAAAGACGACGCTCTCACGCGATACTTGGTCGTGATCAACACGGGAGGGCAAGTCTGTGTCCACGTCCTGGTCGCGGATCAACCTTGGCATTCCGTGATAAGCGCTGGAGAACCTGGTGGTAAGAGATTAGTCAAGACACACGACAAGCAGGCCGACCTTCCAACTACCTACGTATCAAGAGAATATTGACACCACCATACGCGCCGCCGAAGTTCTGTCTCCAAAGGATCGAATTTGAACCTCTGGGAGTGGCGATGAAGTCCAAGGTTCTGTGCCATTCTTGTAGCCATGCCTCCTAGTTGTGACGCAGCTGAGTAGCGAGATGATAGCTGGAGGTAGATCTGGGCAATCTCTAGCCCTTGGAGCGTCGGTAAAGACGGTCGCTCCTGGAGCTGATTCGTCAAAGCAGCGGACATCGCATAGTATTTTTCGGAAAGGCAAAGAAAATGCCGATGTCTCTGAACGCAGGAGCCTGGATGTCCCAATGTTCCTAGAGCAAGTAGACCTAGAACCTGATACAAGAAACTGATATCGCCGTGTTCAGGGTCACCGTTCAACAGACGTAGCGCCTCAACTGTGGAATGTTTATGTACAATCGGATACAATGGAGTCCAGTGGTCGATGGTCGCCGCGAGGATACTAGCAGCATCAAGCGGAAGTTGGGAGACCATGGCAGCGACAACCTGCGACTCTAAACCCTTGGGCGATGGGCCCCATATGTTGTGAAGATAGAGACTATAGATGCTGCTTGGAAATGTTTCGGTGTGGATTCGTAGCATTTGCAACTGCTGCTCAGCCTGGCTGATAAAATGCACGCCCGTTGACGACCCTGCAAACATAGCTGTCTCGTCGTCATTGGACACTAGTCGGCCCATGTGGCCGATCACCGGTTCCGGCACAGGCCTCGACTTGGCGTTTGAGGCAGTTTCTTTACCTCGCTGCCATGATGATAAAGTGGTCGGACCGGTATTTCTTCTAAGTGTGCTCAGATGTGAGTGCTCTGAAACAGCTTGTTGCGAGTTCCTTATGTCTTGAGGGACCGAAAGGGAAGCCGAGTCAACATTGCTGCTATGAGCTTCAGGAGTCTTTGAAGCTGCGGAATCGTCATGTCTTTCCTCAATTCCTTCATTTTCGTAGTAACTAGAAGCGACGGTCAGCAAAGAAACCATTACCCATCTCAATCTATTCCGTCGCGGGTTCCCGGGCTTCTCTATATACTATTTACTAGGTAGTAACTTACCTCTTCCTCTTTCTATTGCGCTTCAACTTCGTTGACACAACGCAGGCCACTCCTCCAGTGATACAAGGCGTGCACTGTCAATTGAACAATATTCAGTCTCAAAAGTCTGGATGTGAGCAGGTTGCGTGGGACAGCCAACTTACCTTTTCGCCATCGCCATGACATCGGATTTTCCTCCTGAAAGCAAAAGGACCCAAGTCAGCCTTGAGCATCGAAATCGAATGGACCAAATTAGGAATCTTTCTTTGACGCTTACTTACCGCCGGCAGCGGTCACTATTGAACTTATTAGCAACATGATCATCCGGTGGGGTTCTCTTGGTTCCTCTTTAGCCCGGATTAGCATACCAAACTTGTCCAGATTGCCCTCCGGAAGGATTTTCCTGTCCATTCATCCTCCCGTTTTGTTCAGCATCATTGAGAGCGTTGGATTCGCATTCAGTAAGAGTGTAGTTGACTCGAAACCCAAAGAAGACTTACGCGCTCGCCGATTATGTGGTGGTGTTGTGGAGAAAGTGATGGACACGGGTCTGCATAGCTACCGAAAGCCGGACCTATTGCACATTAGTCATACATATCTGTTAGTTGCATAGTTCGTCATGGTTTTTCCAGGGCTCATTATCATAAACCATCTTATTCCCCTTTTAAACCCCCGTTGTTGCTAGTCATCTTGGTACAACACTATTCCGCTATTCCGGCCAACGGGTTGTGAAGTTCTACTCTTAAGTCCCATCCCAAACAAGGAAACTATTGAGGCAAAATGGTTCCCCGCGACGAGGGCTGGTTTTCATTTCAATGAGGCGTCAAAGTTAGCGGCTAACAACAGCCATGCAACCAAGACGCCAAGGCTCGTTGAGTTGGAAATTTTCAGACATACAATAATCTGTTACAATGCACGACTAATCCCCTCTCAAGCTTCACGTTGGGTGAATTGGTGAGACTTGAAGCTGCTTGTGATGGTGTGTGTGGTGTGAAGCTCAGAAAGGTAAAATCGCTCCGATCCCAAGTGGGGGATCGGAGCCACATTGCCTTTTTTGTTATCGGCCCCACCTGCCTTCCCGGCTATCGTTGATGGGCACAAAATCAACACGCTCTCTCCGACGCCATGCACATGTCTCTTACAAGGAGCAAAATCAACCATGTCAAGAGCATTTTGTATCTTTTCTTCCCGGTATTGACAGTGAAAATGCCCATCAGTTCATCTGAGGTTCGAACAGGGGCATATGAACCAGAGCAGCGTGACCAGACGCCGCCAAGAGGACCCAGCCGTTCCAAACGGCAGTCGTGGTACGTTCAATCCAAACGTCAAACTCCTTTTGCGTCTCAAGATGGTGCTAACGCCCTCTCAAGTTTACGATGTGTTCGACTTCACTTGAAATGTAAGTCGGGTACCAAGTCTAACCGGCAGGTCTAGAATCATAGAGTCATCAATACTGAAGGCTATCTGACTACTTAGGTGACACACCAAGTCCGACATGCTCGCCTTGCGCAAAGGCTGCTAAATCGTGTACTTACAAAGCAACTTCCCGAATAACATTTCGCCATCATCACAACCCGTCCATAGATGGGTTTCAGGAGTCACCAGAGGATAGCCGAGCTGTTCCTTTCCCAGCTCATCAAGTCTGGCTATCAACGCCGTCTACCCGTGAGATTATCACCTATCACGATACTGATGTGTTTTCCGGACCACGTACAGTCTCTTCAGGTAACTAAAACTCGTGCAGTCGTATTCTCAGCGGACAGCACCGCTTTAGAACGAGAAGAATCGCCGCAAGAGCAAAATGCTACCGAAAGGCCCCTCAAACTCCCAAGTATTGCCAATCTGATTATCGCTACACCCGTCGAGCCACTCCAGGTGGGAGAAGCAATCCAGATACCAGAACCACCTGAGCCAGATACTTCTGAGTTACGTTACCCTTGCGATGTTGAAGAGTCTCCGTGCAATCCTCTGTGGCCATTGAGAGACAGACGAGAAGTCTTGCTGATTCAGCATTTTATCAATCATCTTTCACTTTGGGTACATACTATCAATTGGCCTTTGGTAGAAGCGCAACGCTTTTGATCCGATAGACTGATCCTCGTCTAGTTCGATTATTGCGATAAAGATCGTCACTTTAAAACGGTCATCGTGCAAACGGCTTCGACCCACTTTGTCCTTCTCAACGCCCTTTTGGCAATCTCATGCAAGCATTTGAGTCAGACACAACCCGAGAAATGGATTCCTGGAGAAGCCGACGACTATCAAGCAAGATGTCTACAATCATACATCCCGGCTCTGGCACACCCAGGGTCGGCACGAGGCTTTACCACTGGAGTTCTATGCGCCATTACTATGATCCTGCGACTCTACGAGGAAATGACAGGTGCGGTCTACTTGTTCGCCTTCACGTGTTCCCGATTGTTGACCGAATCGAGCCAGTCCCGTCTGTCGATGATCGCCCGTATGGGCACATTTTAGACACAAACATTTTTACTCTACCGGAGTCTCCGGATGATCCAAACTATAGTCTATGTCGCGCATGTCTGCTAGTTGCTATCCGTCAGGAAATCTTCATTTCTTTTGTAGCACGTACCCCTCCTCCCCGTCTTGCAGAGAGATGCGGCATCACCAGAACTCTTGAGCCCACGTCCGACTTCGATTGGGCGTGGCGCATCATCACTTTTACTGAGGATGTTTTGATATTTGCATACGGTCCAGACGCGCGGTCCATCGGGTCTTGGGAGAATCTGCGTGCCTATTTACATCAATGGATGGAGAAGAGGCCGGCATCTTTCAATCCTCTGTGGCAAACCGGCTCTGATCGCGAGGCATTTCCTGAGATCATTTTTGCCAACGATTTTCATAGTGAGTCCCAGTGCTTCTCATTGCTCTTGTGGCTAGCATGAGTATGTGTGGTGATCACTTACCTTTCCTCATCTACCTAGTTGCTGGCCAGCAGCATGCCATTATCTGCCAGATAATGTTGCTGACTCACGACCCCCGTATGCCTGTACTTGGTCTCGACAAGGCTATGGCTTCGAAAGCTGTTGAGGAAGAGATTCGGCGCTTGATCCGCCAAATTTGTGGTATTGCACTCTCGGCAGGCGAGTGGCAGCCAGCAACCATAGCCGCGGGAATGACAGTTGCTATGTGTAAGTTCGGCTCTCACATTGATCCAGTGCAACATGTGGTTGCTGACAATCTGCTATCCACACAGGCGGTCATTTGTTCCACGAGCCTGCGGAACAGGAGAAACTGCTTGATATTCTCGCAAAGTCGGAAGCGCACATGGGCTGGTCTCTGTTGAGGCAAGAAGAGAAGCTGAAGGCTTTTTGGGAATGCAATGCAGAGCAATAAACATTTCAACTTGATTGTCGAGGTCTCCACAAGAGATCTAAATCAAATATGTTATCTGTCTCTATAATCAGCTCAACGGCTGCCGTTGGTGATTCCATTAGTATCTACAATCCCATTGTCCCTGTTCAAGTCTTTCCCGTTTCCATTAGCATGCCCCTCTTTTTGTCCCAACAGCTCGTCCAGCATCAATTGACAGCACCCTAGGTACCTTGTAGGATCGCACAATTTTGCGAGGTCTGGCGAAGCAAGGTGAGATGTCACCTGTGATGACTCTTCCAACGCTTCTTGCAGTGACATGCTGTTCTCGTGTGCCTTGACGCACGCCTTGTAAACAATCTCGTGCGCCTCCTGGCGGCCGGTGTACTTTGCTAGGTCCATCATGACAGCCTCCGCTACGATCAAGCCCCTTGTTGACTTTAGATTAGCCATCATGGCATCTTTGTTGACCTGCAACCCCGACAGGGCAAATTCGGCTTGATAGAGGGACCCAACGATCGAAATAAAGGCTGTCGGTATAGCAGCCCATTCCAGATGCCACGGCCCGGAGGCTCGTTCGAAGTCAGAGACCATGCCATCGAGGACAAGGCCGGCTTGTGCGCGCAGAATCTTCGATTGCGCGAGTATCACTTCGCTGGAAATGGGATTGCGCTTTTGAGGCATGGTCGAGGAGGCACCACGATGAGGAACGTAAGGCTCGGCAACCTGTGAAGTGCGCGTCAGTATTTTAATCCGTTTCAAGAGCTAGTATGTCCAAACTCACCTCATTCAGTTCGTTTGACGACATGATGATCAAGTCAAGGGCAATCTTGCCCAAACTACCGCCCACCAGGGCAAGGTAGTTTATAATTTCAGCAACAGTATCGCGCGCCACATGCCAAGTGATGATTGGGTCTTGCAACCCAAGAATAGTTGCGAGTCGCTTGCGCACGCGAATGCCACTGTCGCTTGTGCCCAGAGAAGCAAGGGTACCAGCAGCACCGCCAAACTGGACCAGCAAGCAGCTCTCCTTGATCTGTTCCAGACGCTTCAAGTGTCTGCGGAAGCCAGCCAGCCAAACTGCGCATTTGTATCCGAAAGTGATTGGGAGGGCATGTTGCAGATGCGTCCTGCCGGCCATGGGTACGTCTCTGTAGGCGGCGGACATTGTCTCTAAGGTGGAGGTGACTTTGCGCAGAAGGCGCTCGACGATTTCAAGACCAGTCTTCATTTGGAGTACCGACGCTAGGTCCATAATGTCTTGCGTTGTGGCACCCCAGTGAATGTAACCAGCTTGAGGTTGAAGCTTTAGCAAGTTGAAATACCACTTGTCGAATTGGCAGCCAAGACTTACAAGTCTCTTCGGGAACCCATTTCGACATCTGTTCTACCAAAGGTAGTACCGGATATCCCACTATCTCTGTGCGGGCTGCAAGAAGCTGCCAGTCGATTTTGGAGACATTGCAATGCTCTCTCAATACGGCAGCAGTGCCACCCGGCACAATACCTTCAGCTTCTTCCGCCTCGGCCAGAGCGCACTCGGCCTTGATGAGATTGGCAACATAAGATCGTTCAGAGAAGGCTTGGCGAGCCTCCTCTGTGCCAAAAATGTTGCCAAAGAGGGTCGAATCGAAGACAGTGGCGGCAGACATGGCGAAAAGAATGCACGTAGAAGCAGCAGTTCAGACGAGAAAGAGTAGAAAGCAAGCTTCGTCCCAAGACAAGCTTTCCAAATGCGTCGCCGCGTTCTCCTCGGTCTATTTTATTCCTTGACTTGGATGGACATCATTCCGGCCAACGTCCGGTCTTACACCGAGGACCCCGCGGTGGGGCACGGGATAATGCAGTAGCGGGGGGCCAAAATCGCGGGATAAGGACGGAGTAAGGCCGTGTTGAGCGGCGTAACGGCGTAACGGCGTATCGGAATAGCACAGACCATGCGCCGGTTCGCCGGGTCTTGGCCCCTTTCCCCGTATCCTGAACTTCGGGTCATGAGTTAAACATGGGATTAGCGCTTGCGGGGAACGTGTAGTTTCTGGGGTCGAGTCGAGCCAGCCCCGCAAAGCCGGGGATGGCCAGGTGATAGATAGCTGTTATGTATAAATCAGACGATGTCTTGTATGTTTTCTCATTGACACAAAGACCGAAGGAGCATAGAATCTCTTGTCTGCGACCTCGTTCTCTCTCTTTCTCTATCTCTCTAATATTGCCTTCTGACATCGTCTCTCGTCTCTGCTGACAATGGCAGCTACACATGACGCCGACTCCAAGAAAGGCGGTCCGCTCGAGATTGAACACGATGAAAAGTCGGTCAAGGGTGAGGCCGTTGTTTCTGGCGATTACTCCGGCGCCCATAAGAAGACTGATCCGGCTGAAATCGCCCTCGTTCGGAAGCTAGATCGCAGAATCATGGTAAGCCTCTGGGATCTTGACTGGCCCCTTTTGTGAGCATGATGCTAACGTGGTATCTTCTCGTAGCCGATTCTTTGGGCAATGTATTTCATGAATTACGTGCGTCAAGACCTGCCTCAGTTACATGTTTCCACTTTCGAACGTCGGCCCTGACTCGAACTTAGCTCGATCGTAATGCTCTCCCGCAAGCTCGACTGAACACGCTGGAGGAAGACTTGAAACTGAAAGGGGTCGAATACAATACTGCCATCTCTATTCTTTTCGTTGGGTATCTTCTGATGCAGGGTCAGTCAACATTTTGGAAACTTTCGAGATTCGCCGAGTCTGACCACGTCTAGTACCCTCAAATATGTTTCTTACACGCACGAGCCCATCAATCTATATGTCAACTTGTATGATTGGCTGGGCTGCCATCTCTGCTGCCACAGCGGGAGTCAAAAACTACAGTGGATTGGTGGCATGCCGGTTCTTCCTTGGATTTGTGGAAGCAGTGAGTCGCACAAAGCAAGTCAACAGCGGAGAGCAGGCTAACCTGGGTTCGCTTTTTCTAGCCCTTCTACCCAGGTGCCCTGTATCTGCTATCAATCTTCTACACCAGGAAAGAGCTCGCTACGAGAATCTCCATCCTTTATACTGGTCAAGTAGTCAGTACTGGTTGCTCAGGTCTGATTGCTGCTGCGACTTTTACTACACTAGATCAGGTCAAGGGGATTGCAGGCTGGAAATGGTAAGAGCTGCATATTCCCACTTATTCGTCATGGATTGTGATTTAATAGGGTTAGGCTCTTCATCATCGAAGGCTCTGTCACCGCATTGATTGCCGTCTTCGGGTTCTTCCTTCTTCCTGACGATCCCTCTGTTACCCGATGGCTTACCGAGGATGAGAGACAACTTGCTGTTGAACGCATTCGTCGGGATACAGTCGGCAGACAAGAGCGTGGCTCTACCATGGATGGTCTCAAGCAGGCTCTGAAAGACCCCAAAACCTGGTTGTTCTGCGCCTGTCAGAACTTCCATATTTCTGCGGTCAGCTTCAACGCGTACTTTCCAACCCTTGTTCGTACCATGTAAGTTACCAAATAACGGACCCTATCCAAAAAGTAGCAAGTACTTGAAGATGGAAAAACGCTAATGTCCGATTAGGGGCTTTAAGTCGACTACGGCTCTTCTCCTAACCGCTCCTCCCTACTTTGTTTCTGGCTTTCTTGGCATCCCATTTGCCTGGTCAAGCGGGCGATTCAACGAAAGAACATGGCACATCACAGCTGGATTATCTCTTGCTGTGGTCGGATTCGCCATGACGATTGGGACCACCAATAATGCCGTCAGATATGCAGCAACTTTCTTGTATGCGACTGGTGCTTACTCCGTAGGATCTCCTATCTTGGGATGGGTAAGCGATACCTTGTCACAGACGCCAGAGAAGAAAGCCGTTGCATACTCCTTGGTCAACGTCACGGCCAACTTGGCTTATATTTACTGTGCATACCTTTGGCCCACCTCTGATGGGCCCAGGTACATGATCGGCTTCTCATGCATGATTGGTTTTGCCGTTGCAAGCATCATATGTGCGTGGGCGATGAGGTTCTGGCTGATGAGCATCAACAAGAAGCTCAGGGAGAGTGAGGATGAGAACGTGAAGCTCTATGCTTACTAAGTCAGTTCTCGGTATGAGAATAGGTATCCTGCAGGCCTTTCACCCTACCATCCTAAGGGCCTTTAGGTAGTGGTGCTCTCGGGGTGGACTGCGTGTATATCTCATAAACCTCGGCTTAGATAACCAGTCATAAAGTTGAACACAACTCTCGATTCGGCAGTTCTTTATGCTCTCTCCCTCTCCTCCTTGATGCCGCAGTATCGTTGCGTCTTCCATATGCGGCCGAGCAACGCAGAGTTAGATCCAAGCATCACAGAGCCCAGAAAGCTCTTTTTGTAAACGAGGATTTTCTGAATTAAGCAGGAGGGTAAGAGGTGCCATCTCTGAAGGTCGAGGCTTTCGCCGTGTCACTACAAGCTGAGTGCCCTCTTGAGAAAGCAAGATGGAGACCATGTAGACTTGCCACCACTTGCATGATGTGTCTTCATCATCCAATGACGCCTTTACATTAGTTGATCTTGCCTGCCATCTGCTTGTGATAGACTGTTCCTCGAGGAAAGCGATGGCAACGCCGCGCGAAGCCGCGCTTGAGCGAAGCTTGCTTCATGTCAACGGTTACGTTCGACGGAGTAGCGTGTTTTATTTGGTACTAGACCGAGTCACTCTTGAATGTGAATACGGATAATGATCCTTGTTTTCCGCAGTGAATGATGCCATATCTCAAGCGCATGATGCAGGCAACTCACACCAGTTTTCGCAAACTGGGATTCTATAAGACGACCTTACATCGCGGAATGCTGTGCTGAAGGGAATACGAGAGCGAGCCAGTGCGGTCTACCAGATCTCCAGTTTACGAGACCCTCGTGCGAAAATCCGATAAGTCAGCGGAAAGGTCCACCAACCTTGAGTTCTATTCGCAAAACGTGGCTTGTGGCGACATGTTTGCCCAACACGGCATAGGACGGGAGGAAGAGTCCGAGTTTTAGACTTGTTCGGCCACCCACTTGCATCGGCGACTTTGACTAACCTCCTGGTCGTGGCCCTTTCATCTGCCTAAACCCTTGTCACTACCGAAATTTGATTGAGAAGCAGAGGGGAGGACCCCTGTCACTGTAGCATCTTGATGACACTGACAGACCTGTCCCACTCGACAATTCCCCTTCCAGCATGCCCCCCAGCTGTTAGCTCCCATATCAGGAAATGTCTGCCGGGCCCGAATGACCTCGGACTTGCCAAATGGTGACTTTGTCGGCGCGGAGCAGCAGCCACCTCCGCGTCGGTATGGGCAGGACGAGGATTTTCCCATCACACGGAGAATTCTAAGATTTAGGGGCTACTACATCGGCCGGAATGACAGCGGCGATTGTGTACCTATGGAGACGGTTCCCGTGTTCTATTCCCATTGCTGTTAGGTGGAAATGGATCCATGGAAACTTCGCCGCCTCTAAGGTGCCGGCCCAGCCCTATATCGCCGCTTGGCACAAACCGTCGCTGCCGCGCGAGAGACCTGCAAGATGTGGATGTAATTAGTATGAGAATAAGTCGAGGCCTCCTCGTGTCGCCCCGCTGTCACTGCGTCTTGGCGTGGCAGTAGGATCATACGGCTAGGAGTTTAGACTTGTTTTTAACCTTGTACGATCCCCGATACCAGAGGCTTGGTTCGAACCAAGCTCCTCCTTCATCTTCATATTCTTTCTCACTATAGTTATTACTTCAACTACACTCGCTTTCTCTTTTAGCCTTGCACGATGAAAGCCTGTCTTCTCTCTCTCGTCGCCGCTCTTGCGAGCACGGCCACTGCACAGGTGCAGGGCAAAGCCTTTGGCTTCGCAGCTGGCACCACTGGTGGTGGCTCAGCTGCTCCCCAGATTCCTTCTAGCATTGCTCAGTGAGTTGATTTTCTTCATAGACGAAGAATCATAGGGTTCAGAGACTAAAACTCGGCAGACTTAAGGAGTGGCTTACCGACAGCACGGCCCGAACCATCATGATCGATCGCACTTGGGACTTTCGCAACACTGAGGGCACGACCAGCGGCAAGTGTTGCAGTGATAACCGCACGACCAAGTGCCCCGGTGGCACTTCCAAGGGTCAGGCCTGGATCCAGGACACCTGCGATGCTGCTAGCGGTACCTGGGTTGACTGCACTTACGACAATGCTGCGAAGACCCCCATTGATATCAATAGCAACAAAAGTCTTGTTGGCGTTGGTACCAAAGGCGTTATCATTGGCAAGGGGTTCCGTGTTCGTGGTGGAAAGAGCAATGTCGTGAGTCTTCCCTGTTGTGTTACCAGCACCACCCACTTTTGAGAGTCAAGATACTGATCGAGGTCCCTTCAGATCATTCAAAACGTCCACATCACAGTACGTTTCTAAGCTTCCGCCGCGATGTTGATTTCCGGTGTAGCTGACTGTATGTAGAATCTCAACCCCCAATACGTCTGGGGAGGCGATGCCATCACTCTTGATGGTGCCGACAAGGTCTGGATCGATCACGTCAAGATCTCCCTGATCGGCCGCCAGTTCATCGTCTCTGGTTGGGGAGCCGCCGGCAAGGTAACCATCTCCAACACCGAGTTTGACGGCAACACGGAGTGGTCCGCCGGCTGCAATGGAAAGCACTACTGGACCGCCCTCCTCATCGGCGCCAAGGACTACTACACCTTCTCTGGTAACTGGCTGCATGACGTCTCTGGCCGCTCCCCTCATATGGGAACGACAAACACCGCTGGCAGCGAGAACCTGTTCCACGGCGTCAACAACTACTTCCAAAACGTTGGCGGTCATGCCTTTGACATTGACGGCAACACCTGGGTCCTTCTTGAGGGCAACTACTTTGATGCCGTCACCACGCCCATCACTCCCGCCAGCTTGACCAACGGAGGCAACATCTACATCGTGAACACCGTCGACGAAGCCTCTCGCTGCACCTCCTACTTGGGTTACATCTGCGAGTGGAACCGTGCTCGTGACTCTGGTGTTGTCAGCAGTCTTACCAGCACGACTGCCCTCACCAAGCTGGGTGGCTTCAAGTCTTCGCTCATCGGCCACATTGGCGTTGCCGACGTTCCCGCCAAGGTAAAGGCCAACGCTGGTGTTGGCAAGACCACGAGCACCAATGCCTAGGCGCTTGCATGAGCATAGCTTCCCCTCGAGAGGGGCGAGAGATTGCTCACATGAGCTCTACCAGGTAGAGTCCACTGTATTGCGGCCATATCTTCCGGCGATTTCCTGTATCTATACTTCCCGTACATATGTATTCCTTGGCTTGGGCCTTGAACATACCCTCACTTCTTACCAAAGAATAAGACGTGAGCAAACCCTTTTATAATTTCACATGGTTTGATCGTTGTTTGGTTGTAAAATGTGATGGTTTCAAGTGAGACTTGACGATCAATGCAACTATGGACTCGGGTATCTAATAATGTTCTGCTGTCGTTACCATCTTACACTCTCATGTACCACCCCTTGCTCGTTTCTCTATCCTTCAAAGCAACAGCAACGCCAAACACCACGAACTTCTACGCAAACAAGGGAAAAGTTCGGAGCAAGACCCATCAAACTTTTGTGTATCTCCATCTTTCCACTCACTAACCATTCATTCTCTCCCCAAGATTCTCAAGAGTCTCGCAACTCCCATTCTTGGTGTATTGTTGGGTATTGAACAGCCTTGGCTTGCCCCGAAAGCCAAGCATGGCAAGCCTCGTAGTGTGAGAAGTGAGGGTTCTGCTTATACGACGTTACCATTTTGTCGGCTACATCAAGCACACTTCGACCTTCCACGTCCCGGGCTTGTACGTTTGCGTTGTGTTGTTGAAGTGTACGCATGGCAAGCTTTTTGCCTCTGCGGACTGCGACATGCAGCGCGGTCTCGCCATTCTTATTACGGGCATTGACGTCGGCACCCGCATCGATGAGAGCCTCCAAGATGTTGACGGGCTTCTTGTAGTCGTCGTCTTCGGGTAGCTGGGCCACAAAAGCCATCAGCACGGTGTTGCCGTATTTGTCGTAGTGGTTTGCGTCAACGCCGAGGTCAATGAGGTCTCTCACGACCTTTTCCCTGGCAGTGAGTCTCTCCTTTGAGGAGTCTGTGAGTGTTTTGCTAGGTTTGTTGTGTTTGCGCTTACGGCTGCTACCGCCGGAATGCTCTGCGGGAGCTGCCTGCGCGAGATGTTGGGGGAACCTGGCGAATAATGACTCCTGGCTGAGAATAGCATCGGCAAGACAGTGCAGACCGTTTCGTCCTTGTGTATCTTGTACTCGGGTGTTGGTGTGTGCTTCGTTGACGAGCTTCAGAAGTTGTGCTTGTTCCTCGATAGGGGAAGGACCCCTGCGCAACGTATGTGAATCCCAGGTTGAGGACATCTCTTGCCCGACAGCAGCAGTATAGGCTCTCCGGATTGGCAGTGCGATGGGGGCAGATTCAGGAATGTTGCCAAAAGCGTCGCGGCAGCAGTATGCCATGGGGTTAAACTGGTTAAGAAGGGCATTTTTAATCTCCTGGCTCAGAATGCTCGGCTGTTTTGAGTGGATAATGTGACAAAAGTTGCGCCCGTACACATCGCGAGCATACAAGTCAAAATCGGATCGCTTCAGATGAGTAATGAGTTGGAAGAGAGAATCGGCGTGTTGGGTAAACCAGCTGTCGTTGAGCAGATGTAGGAATGTCTGGCCGGCGCTATTCGTAACTGAGGGGTTGGGGGACGACTCGATTGCCTTGAACAAGAGGGCGTGGTGAGCGTTCCCGGCTGCAAGAAGATGCAGGATACTGTGGCCGAAGGGGTCGCGAGTGTTCCAATCCTGATTTGGAGGCTCTCCACAATGCAAGATGTGTTGGGCAAACGGAGTTGGACCTGAGCCGGTGACCCAAGAGTCATTCGGGAGCTCGTCTCGTACGTGGCAGAAGCAAGATCGCGAATCATGCTCCGCAAGCCCTTCAGAGCAAAAGCCTTGTTTGAGGAGGTGGTACGGTAGGTTGAGATAGTCGCCGGGCAGGGGTGCAGCTTGCGATTCCGAGTTTCTCTGTGGCGCATTGTACTCGAATATCCACGATGCTGGGTTAGAGTTGGCAGTGCCAGGTCGGTCGTCGTCCGCCGGTGATTGATTCATCATCGTGTTGCTCGGCATCGTGTAGCGCTTCAACAGCCTGCTGACTTGATGACGGAATCCAGTTGAATACTGTGAAAGCACATCCTGCAGGGTTTGTGTCGTTGTCTGCCGGTGGATTCCGGCTTCGGGCGGCGGCACGGACGCAATATCGGTGGTCACTAATGTCGGAAGCGGCCCCGGGGCTGGCGGGCCCCAGCCAGCGGAAGATGAGCGCGAGTGATGAAAGGGTTGGAAGTCGTTGACTGTTGGGCTGTTGCCGCCTTCGTATTTGAAGTCGGGGTGTACGCTCAGATGCGATCGGGCGCCGGACGAAATTGAGCGAGAGTAGTTTGGCGAAAATGCATTCTCGGGCGTGTTCTGGCGGGTTGGGGAGTTATCGAGGGCGCTTATGCGCCGATCCATGTCTGTCCGGGTTCGTGGGTGAAGCCATCGCGGCTCTTTGTCAAGGATTGAGTTCAATTTCTTGTTGGCTGAGTCCTTTCTAGTAAGCAAGCGCTGGCGTCAGCAATCGCATTTGCGCCGGCGCAAACCAATCTCTCAGCTTACCCTGGACAGTCTCGTTTTCCCGGAGTTACTCTATGAACGACTTCCACAATTTTGGTGAGGGGCAAGGTCGTGTAGACATAGAGCCTAGCTAATCTGCGCTCGGCCGAGTCATTCCAAAGCGAAGGGCGACCAGTCTGGGTCGCGTGCGAACTTGAAGGTGAAGCTGACATGAAGCTCGGGCTGGAGGCTGGCTGCCACAGCCTTGTCAAGTAGAGCGTCGTAGAGCGTGTAAGTGAGGCGGGAAAGGGATCTTGACCCTATCGATGGTGAGTTCTGCTATAGGCCAAGTGTCTGACGAGAAATTGAGGCAAAAGACTCAGGTTGAAGCGAGAGACATGATGGACAACGGGGAGGATGGATCTGTACTTTTGGCCATGAAGTGAGGGGGACGACCAGGCTATCAATGGGCTGAAAGATGGTGCCTTTCGCCGTGGCGCCGCCGCGGTGCTGCTACGAGAGAGGTAGGGAGGGAGGGAGGGGAATGGGCGGCCCCAGAGAATAGACGGGAGCCGGCACGGAGCAAGGGTCACCAAGCAGCTAACGCCAACGATCTAAGCGTGGGAACGTGATAAGACTGGGCCCTCAGCAGCCAGGGTTTGGTAGCACAGCAAACTGGCAGCCTGGAGGAGGAGGTCTCGAAGGTGGTCTGGCGGAGCCAATGGCTATGAAGTAGAAGAATGATGGTGGTGCGCCAGTCGGCTGGGTTGCAGGGGACAGAGGCTCAGCTGTGAGCCTAGGGGGCACCGGGGGAGGGCATCTGGGCTTCATCAGATTGGGCAGTACGAGGCCAAGTTTGTTGTGACGGATGAGGAGGATTCTCAATACCCATTTACTTTCCGGATAGTGATGTAGTTGAGGTTTCGTTCCAGGTCTTGACGGGCAAAGGAGTGTTTGTGAGACAACTTCGGTCAGCTCACAGAGAGTTGCCTCAATAAAGTGTTGAATTTAGGCAACGGAATTACTGGTGCTTTTAGTTGCTCGGCTATCCGTAGAGGCACGTTAGGAGAGAATCCCAGTCACAGTAAGCGCCCATTGGCAACGATCCCCCGTCAACCGTTCTCGGCGTCAGCGGTTACAATGGTGCCAGAAGCCGCCATCCGCGACTGTCTTCTCTCTTGCTCCACGGGGGAAGAAGAAACGAGCGCGATGAGATGAAGATGGCTTCATTCCAGACACAGTGACCGCGACGCACAATGACGGATAGCGTATCGGTAGGGAAGAGGGACTCGGACGGGCCGCAGTGGATTCGATTTGCTACTGTGAACCGCAGCAGCAAACATTGTAAGCGACCGAGTGTGTGTGAGCGAATGAGTGAGTGAATGAGTGGGGGAGTAAGAAAATGCCCTGTCAGGCAGAGTTGAGAGGGAGGGACTGGTTGTGTGGCTGAGCCAGGTTGGTGTAGCCCTCGCGCTGCCACAGGCCAGCAGCTCGGGAAAATGACGTGCGAAGAATGAGATGCGACTGCTAGGTATTACCTAGGCACTTCTCTGGGCTCCTACGGAGACGGATAGAAGTCTGATCGAATCGGTTTTCCGTCCGGGGTGAGTTGCGAGAGGGAGGGAAATCCCCTACATGAGCTTCGACCAAGATTGCTTGTAAATGAGCGGTCCGTATCCGTAATTGAATTGGCAATTGGTCGCGAACATTTTCTTCTACGCTGCCTTGATGAATCGGCGATAGTGGTTATGTATTTCTTATTTCTTATTACAGGTGACTGAAATTGAATTGGAGTCTGTCGAACGTTGAGCACCTCGCTCAATTCTACGGCTCGTGAAATACTGGAAAGACAATGATGAGAATGACTGTAATTCCGTTCTTCGTAAGAAAAAGACAAGAAAAAACAAAACAGAGCAATTTGCCATGAGCCGTGACAAGACAACAAAGCAATGGCTCATTCTCTGCTTGGCCACTACCCCGTAGCATGTAGCCAATTCTCGGCCCAAATGCTTCTCAGTGTGTTACGCCTCTCGGTTGTACTCCATCCTTCCGCGAAGCACCGCCCGCAAACACAGCCACATCCATAATCCATACCTTTGCGTGTTGTCAATGAGGTGGGTGTGGGTGTGGTGCATCAGATTGAACGCCTATTGTAACGTGTAATGTAACTCAGCACCAACGCACGCTGCAGATGGACAAGTAAGTCATCGGCGGCCTCGACGAGCCCAGAAATCTTCTTTGTTCGAGTGATCTGAATCTTGGCATGAATTGCAACTGAGCCACAGAGTCAAGTTGAATATTGTAAGTCTGCGCCATTGATAGCTCTGGATGCCTCCGCATCACCTCTCTCCCTCCTTGTCTCGTATGCTTCACGTCACTGACTTTCATCTCCAGCACGCATGTCATGGCCTGTATCCCAGCTCCCGCAACATCAATATGCCCCGCCCCTAAACGGCAAGGTGAAGAAGTCGGGGGTTTGATGGTGGCGATCGCCTGGCGGCCATTCTGCAAATCACCATCCACGCTCGCCAAGCTATTCGTTAAGGACAAGTGAAGCTTAGATCCCGTTCACCGCGCCCCTCTGTTCGAGTCTGGCCCTTGGCCAGGCACCAGGCTCTTGCGATACCTACGTAAAGCATTTCCAGCCCAGACTAGGCTGCGTGCCCCCATGCCTCCCAACTTTTCCCCGAATGTTCCACACCACAGACACGAGAACATAGCGCGGACTCTCTTACTCGAATCCATCCCGCGCTGGGTCTCTGGCCTGTGTCTTAGTCTAGATCTCCTGCGCGCCCCATCAAAGTCTTTCGTTTCTGAGTTGACAGCCACGCAAACTACCGGTAGTCCCGCCCGCCAACATCTGCCCTCTCAAGGCAGCCCGCCTGCATGTCTATCACACAAAGTGCCAGGCCTATTACTACCTACCTCTGAAAGAAGCGGCCAACTGTCTGATGTCTCATCCCTGCACGTCTATCTCCCGGAAGTCATCCCAGATCCACGCGAGTGGCAAAACTACTTGGCGATGCAATGGAAGCTTCGAAAAAGTTGCCCAAGCTCCCTCCATGCGCGACTGTTTTGGCCAGTTCCAGCCAGGATCAACCCTCCCCTTGTCCTCAATCCTCCGTCTTTTTTCCAGATGCATTTTCTCTATTCCGACTTCTTCCCTTCAACATTGCTGTCAAGCATTATTGCCGACAGTCTAAGAGTTCTTTAGGTCGGGAAAGGAGGCCGTCGCTCACTGCCAGCCAATGCTTCAATTTTTACGTTCCTAATCCAACGTCCCCATGACAGTCTTTACAGTCAAGTGACTGCGGGAGCTAGGTCGCTTCCCCTGTCGCTCATCTTCAATATCCTCCGTAACATCACAGCCATCCTCTAGTGTATGGACACTCCATTATTTCCGATTGTAATTCCTAACTATTCCTTTTCAATCCTCAATCCCACCATGATACCCGGTGCCCCTGGGTATGGTTTCTTCACAATACCAACTGGTATCGTTTCGAAAAGGATATACTATGATGTCTTTTGTCCACTTCCTCGTGGTTTGTATTTGCAGCGGGCGATACAGCTGCCTATTCCCAAGTTCAAGCTGGGCCACCTCTCACTTACATCCTTTGATATATAATAAGGCCTGATCTGTTGGGTTGCCGTGTAGTCTTCAAGGCCAGGCCAGGCCAAACCAACTTCAGCTTCACGATCCTAACAACCAACGTCCACCTATCTTGCACTTTTGTCACCACCCTCATCATACCCGCCCCTCCACAACGCAACATGTCAGGATCTAGCTACTACCAGCGTCCCGCTCCGAGGTACGACGGCCAATCTCTCATTTCTCCCCTTGCACCCTGTCAGACCGATCCTAATGCCTGCCAGCTACTCTCAATATTCCACGTCTGCAAACACCGGCGGGCAGAGACGCGATACACCTGCCAATCAAGCGTCATATACCACCACAAGCTACTCACGCTCATCCGACCCGATGGACAGATTCTGGGTCACGGGCCAGTCGTCGGCCAGGCCCAATCGTGTAGCTGGACAGATGGAGCAATGGAATAGGCAATGGAGTTCGGCGAGTCGTCGCTAATACGACCGGCTGGCTCTTCGAAGGAGTGTGTGGGAGCTTCCCTGCCAACCCACCTTATGTTCTTGTATGATTATGATTAGTTTGCTCGATACCCACCCAGCATAGCATCTCACATTGTATATCACCATTCGAGAAACTCTTCGTTCCCCGCAAAACATCTACCGTCCCTTGACTCCCCACATCACCACCTCACATCGTCGCCAACCGAGGCCGCTGCAACACCCCGGGGAAGCGCAAAAGCAAAAGCGAGCACCCGCAACAGCGTTGGAACTCCTCCACCTGGGCTCGAACCAGGGATCTCCCGATTAACAGTCGGACGCCTTAGCCAACTGGGCCGTGGAGGATTGGTGTTGCCGAATGAGGCTCGTCAGCTGAGATGCGAGGTCCGGAGGGGTAGGTGTTGGCTAAGATGTGTTTGCTAAGATCTCATGCCCAGTGTTTTTTTGCTGGGGCTTGCGCATTCGGATGGCGGCCTCAGTCTGAGAGCGACAGAAGAGACGAGATGGCAGAGATCACCTCATCGACTATCAGGTGGGAAACTTGGTCAGAATCGGTTGACGGGGTTGACAGATTGATGACGGAGATCCAGGGCATGATCTATAGCCAGCTTAATATTATATGTAAAGAGTTCTGCGCGGGCAATAGCATCACAAACATTGCATCAATGGCCGAGAGTTCAGGCCTAGCGTTTCGACAGATCGGGCCTGCCATCCGGTGATCATACCCATATGAGACGGTATAGAGTGTGGTCCCTTAACAGATGCATTGCTCAAATGATCCTGTGCCTGCGTATGAGCGACAAACGCCTTTTTGGGACAGATGCAGTCTCGGCCAGCAAGCTAAAGGAAGAGTCACTGTCTAAGCTGAAAGAAGAGCCTCAGAAGCACAGGTCATCCTGGAACCGACATTCTCGGGTTCCCAGCGACAAGGGGGCGATGTTGTATCCCGCATGTTTTATCCCGAGTGGACGCACGTAGGGCTACTATTATTGAGTTTTCGACCCGAGCTTACAAAATCGTCACGCCGAATTGTGATCCACCTCGCCGGGTCATCCCGTCTTCAAGTTCACGCCGCATGTAGTATAACAAGCTCCAACTAGGGTGAAGACGGGATAAAAGCCCGCCGGCAGTTACAGTCTCATCTGCACTACGAAATCTTGGCGAACCGACTGAAACTTTCATCCGCACCAGAAAAGATGGGACGAAGCACCGACGACACCAGTCCCTCCTTATAACGGTGTGGATGTGTAATGATATGGAAAAAGAGGGAACTATACCAGAACGTTTCCGAAGAGACCGAGATGACAGGTCTCATCTCTTTTCCGGACCCAAACTTCCTGCTACGTCCCAAGGATCCTAGAAATCATGCAAAGCGGTCACGATGGCCCTGAGAAGGGCTAGACGGACTAATGGAATGGACATCTTTGTTTCCCTGAGAGAAACCATTTAGCTCGATCCGGAACGTGCACTGAAGCTCGCGCCAGGCGGCGGACCGTCGATTTTACCCCGCCAGCGCACGAACCGGCACCGAGACACAGCTTCACTCACGGTCTCATCACCCCATTTCACTTCATCTCACCTCTTCAACTCTACAATTGGGCATTGTTCATTCGAAGTTCTAGCATCGTTACACCAGATCGTTACTTGCCTTAGTTTCCTTGAAATCACAAATTTAAAGGCTGGCTGTTCAACCTTAGAGGTACCTGAGTCTCAGAGTCATCGCCTCTCGTCAACAGAGAGCCTCGAGGACCCGGTCCTTGCATGAATCACCAACATGGCCCAAACAAGCCAGCGAAGGAAGCGCCAGGCAGAAGAAGATGAAGAGGAATATCAAGAAACACCTTTCAAAAGAAGTCGCGTGGAGGATGTTTCCTATTTCCAGTGGCTATGGACACCACCTCGCCCGCCATCACGGAAAACCTCTTCATCGGGTCTATGGAGCCACTCCGTCCCGGATGGCCTATTCCTCACCCGTCATGACGCGCCCCGTTCCTTTTCTCTACCCCCGGAATCCACATCAAGACGGCCTCGTCGCCGGGGCGCCATCTCTGTGACATCCTCGTCACCCAGCGAGATGGATCGACACCTCGCGCGGCAACTACAGCACCAGATCGCAATCCTCCGACGCAAGGCAGCCGAGGGCCAGCATCAAGCACAAGACGAGGATTGCTGTGAAGATGACGGCGATGATGATGACAATGTCCACAACGAAAGGGACGTTGATCGCCTACAACGTGAACTAGAGGCCGTGCAGATCGACGCTCCCCTACCGTCTATCCTGGGCATTGCAATAGACTTTGATCAAAAGCTTTGCCTCAGTTCCTCCGGCCGTTCATCAGATGCCACCTCTGGGCATCGAGGTAAGCGATGAGGCATTTGAGCGAAACCCAAAGGATGGCGTCAACACACAAACAAACGCATTCACAAAACTAGTGGAAATTTGAGAGAGTGCAGGTGACACGGATGAGAGGATGTGTGAGAGAGGGAGAAGTACAGAGTCATTTTCACCTGTCAATCGTCGATCAAACACAGCGGAGAGGGGGAACCAGTTCTCTAACAGAGTTGCATAGAAACCGGTTCGCCCGCGGGCGCGGATGCCGCAACCTCCTCATCCTCTCCATTATCCTCCTCTCCCACGTGCTGCCGGCTCTGGGCATCGAATAAAGTCAACTCAGCAACCGGAGATACGAGCCCGACTACTCGGCAACACACCCTCGTCAACTCCTGCGGTAAAAGTAGTCGAGGCAGAAAAGGTGTCGGCAACGATGGTCTTTTGTGGAGGCGGCCTCGAACTTGAGACCAAACTCTGTGTTGCCAAGCTTCGATCCAACACACCAGCAAGACACACAGGCACCACACCACCCTCTCTCTCTCTCTCTCTCTCTCTCTCTGTGGCTCTCACTTCTCATATGACGGAAGAAGGCGGGCGATTACTGACGACCCTCGTCTCTCGTCTTGCATGAATGTCATACCGTAATAATACATTGATGTATTATACTTCAAGTAAAAATATGAATGTTTGGGTATCATGACCCTGAGGAATAGATAATAGAACAATGGAATAATGAAAGTTACCCAGGGAAATCTGAGCGCATTAGAAAGTTTCCGATTCTTTTCTGACACCTATCATTCGATAGCTTGAGAACCACCGTCTGCGGCTCTCCCTCCCTGTACTATTCCCAACCCCGCCTGCCTCTAGGCCCATCGCTCTCACCTCGCTGGCGGAGGCGGCGAATTAGACCTCGCAAATGGCCAATTCGGGTCCTTCTCCCCTGTCGGGGTATCTGCCAGGTCCCCAAACGGACTCACGGTCTGCGTCCGTCTCAACCAGTTCTTTGTGCCCTCCCCAAACTCATCGCTTTCCTCGTCCACCCTATCCAGCTTTTCATTGTTTGCCGGACCCTGTGCCTGTGCTTGTACTGACGCAGGCGCTGGGCCTGTGCCTGTGCCTGGATTAATCGTGAGAGGAGGGGGAGCCTCCTTCTCCCGATCTCGCGCAGGGGCCGGGGTGGCAGGCAACGACGTCGCCGGCGGGCCATCCCTAGACCTTGGCGGGAATAGAGAATAGGGCGGCTTCTTTGGCGAAGGCGGCACCGGCCTTCTTGACACCGACTGTTCCCTCTGTATCGTACCCATGCCCATCTGCGGCGCGGTACTGCTCACAAAGGTCGTCTGTCGAGAAAAGTTGGGCTGCCCATCGCCGAAATCACTGACCGCGTAGCCCATGCCTCCAGACGACCCCGTCGTACGTGCTGTTTCTGGACGGGTCGGTGATATTGGGCGCTTGACATCTTGCGGGTAGCCATTGTTCATAGCCAGCGCGTTTGTCGTCATCAGAGTATTCTGCTTCGGGTAGCTGATTTCACGACGGAGCTCCCGTGCCGTCTGGTCCTTGCGCTTGTTACGCCGGTAACGAGTAAAGATGTAGAAGCCCAGTATGGTGAGAAGAGATGAGCCGATGATGGCCCCCACGACGGCGAGAGCCGCCTGGGTAACTGAAACTGCGGCGCCTTGTGCTTGTGACACACGTAAATTTGCGTCGTCCTATGTAAAAAGGTTAGAAATCTTGAATGACACACAACCACGGAGTGACCACGTACTCTCGCAGCTTGAATCTGCTGCTGTGCCTGCTGCTGAGCATTCGATATAGCCGCACTGGCGGATTGTGTCGCAACAGCAATGGCTTGCGCAGCACTTGCGCTGGCACTGGCTTGTATGCTCGCAATCTGAGAAGCCAGCTGCGTCTGCGCGCTCGCTGTAACCATGGCAAAGTTGTCCGCAACCTGCTTGCTCGCACTCTCCTTGGCCGCGTTCTGGGCGTTGAGTATTCCCTCCTTAGCGCTTGCCTGTGCCTGGACGACGGCATTGTTGGCCGATATCGAGGCCCGGGTGGCCGCATCGTTGGCCTGCCTCGCCTGCTCCTCCGCCTGCCGCTGTCGATCTCCGGCCTGTCTCACTTGGTCGTTTGCTTGTTGAATAGCTTCTCGAGCAGACTGGGATGCCGATGCAATGGCCTGCTGTGCTGATCGAGACGCCGAGTTGATGGCGTCAATGGGGTTGCCGATTGCTTGTCGCCCGAAGAGAGCCGCTGGTGTCGGCACCGATAATACGACACGGTCTTCAAGGCGGGCCGGCTTGTTGTCATCTGTTGATGCCGTCGGCGGCAACACCCTCTTGCCCAATAAGTCCTCGACCAGATCATGGCCTGCCGCCCTCCTCCTCCTTTGAGGTTCCGCCGGCGACCTGTGGTCTCCTCCGTTGTTCACCCATCTTGCTCTTCGCCCACTTCCTTCATCCACCGCCGCGACTGCCGCCAACACAAGGGAGGCCAGAACACAGAGCAGTACTATTCGTGGGAGGCAAGCCTTCACCATGATTTCATTGTCGTCGAATTATGTGTTCCTCCTCTTCACCGTATTCATATTATTCGTAGTAGGTAGTCCGAACGAAAGAAGCAAATCTCAAATCACCATTAACAAGAAGACTAATAATCAGCAAGAGTACTCGAAACGAACTGAAGAGGAATAATACAAGAAAAAGACCAAACCAGGAAAGGACAGGCTTCAGGCGGCCCGGTCAGCGGCCCTCGCCCATGTTATGGCCCATGAGCCCGCTTCATCCTAACCGTCGAAGAACAAGAGCCCCACGGCTTTCAGCCCACCTGGGCAACGCCGGCGCGGGTCGAGACTCGTTGGCCCCGTCTCCTCGCCGATATCACATCCCAGATAATGCAGTCGGCTTCATTGGAGTAGGAACCTGGGGAGGAGGGTTGAGGGTTGAGGGTTGAGGGACGGGGCCACACGGCGGCTTCTTTCGTCACGATAGTAGCAGCCGCCGACTGGGGGAGATCAGATTAGCGCGCCACCGTCCCATTTTCTTATTCGGTCAGACGCCCAGAGCCCAGTTGGCTGTAATGCATGCATGGTTTCACAAGTGAATTTGGAAACAGCACGCTGACAGAAACGTCAGAAAAGTTTATGCCTGCAGTTGGGAGGTGTTTGTTGCGCCAGCGGCATCAACCTTCGGCTGCGTTCCGAGCTTGGTGCTGTCTCAAAAGCCAAAGTTGGACTGGATCCCTGGTCCGTTGAGGCTCTCAGGCGGAGGAGAATTACAATTGCGGGATCGTCTTCCAACAGCGTCGATCCTCAGGCTCCTTGGTGTCGCATATCCCTGTCCAGGGTCACTTGACTCGAACCCGGGAGCAAGTCAAGGTCGAAAGGTCGGGGTGGCCGGGGGAACCAAAAGGAACCGATGGCGAGATCCATTACCTTGAACCGTCCGCCGACTGCCACCACACTAGATTGCCCTTGTTCAGGGTCTGGTTCCCCCTCCAAGTTAGGCAAAGGCAACGAAAACTTATAAGCCAGCAGGGACAGACCTTTACTCGGCGTCCCAAGAGCCGCAACAAGATTTCGGAAGCCGGCGAACTAACCGAAAAGAACGAGTCACCCAAGGCGTGCCATAGCCGCTGAAAAGTGCGTGCGTGAGTTGCGTGTTTGTGATTGTGAAGAGCGTTGAGTAAGGTGAGTGTGGATGGGTGGGGAGAAACATGTTGCGCGAGCGCGAGCGTGAGGGTCGTGGAAATTTGGAAACGTTCTTCACATTGACCATCTATATACCAGTGGGTGTCCCGGTCTTCTTTCTGTTCGTTCTCGATCAAGTCGATCTGTAGGCACTTTATGAGCAGCTCAACCAACACATATCCATCTGTGCGTGGATTGGAGTTCTGGCTGTCTGGCCGCCCGTGCAAAAAACTAACCATATCTCCCAACGCCAGCCATGCATCCATCCGTCGCGGAGGATATTCCCTATCCTTGAACCTAGGCAACCCCCCCCCCCCCCCTTTTTTTTTTCTTCTGGTTTTGCGTTGTGTGCCTGAGAAAATCCCAATACTTGTTGAGAGACTGGACGAAAATAAGAACAAGGTCATGGCCCGCCATTTGGCTCCAGCGCTTGTTCATAGCTTTTGTTGTTACAACCCATGACTCTGTATTCCGCGGCGCCCGCAACCTGGCGGATGTTTCCAGGTCGGAAGCTGTGCGAAACCTCGTGGGTGGGAGAGTACCATTTTAAACGGGCAGCTTGAACTTCTTGCCCTTCATCACCTTGGTGTAATAGATCCAGAAGAAGTCACTGTAAAGGATGGTCTGGATAATACCGGCGGTAATGGCGATCCAGTCAACCTTGTGGTTGACCTCAGTGAAGTAACGGTAGATCCAGTTGGGGATATACAGGGCACGGTAGATACCGAGGGCGAAGAGGTAGTGGGTGGTGATGGTCTCGGCCTCGCCGGTGCGCTGAAGCATGAAGAGTTGAGGCAAGATGGCAACGGCCTCGAGCCAGATAGAGAAGGTCCAGGAGATCTCCCAGAAGGTGTACGAGTAGGGGAAGATGATGGCCAGGGCGGCAGCTCCGCCGAGCAGGTACTGGACGCGGAAGGTATCCTGGTTGGGGTCGTTGGTTGGCTTGTAGGCGGTCGTCATCAGGTAAACAATGTACCCTTGGGAAGAGATGAAGAGGATTTTGAAAACGAGGTTCCATAGACTAGAGGTCGTAAACAAGTCTGAGGGGGGGAACAAACAAACGCTGGTTAGCTCAGGTCAAGCGGAGAGAAGGGAAGGCAATGGGGCTTACCAAGGTACCTGGTGATGTAGACCAGGAAGTAAAGGGCTTGCGACTTGAACGAAATACCAGAACAGCTCTGAGAAAGAATTAGATAAGGGCCCTGGGTGTGACGACATGGTGGGATTCGGAAAGCTCACGTTCAGCTGCACCATCTTGTGGAGGAGAATGCCGATACTGGCAAGGTGGGACAAGTCCCCTGCAAGCCCATCATGTTAGTCCCCGGAGCAAAAAGTCGCAATATTGAGGATTTTGGCGACACGTACCGGCAACGCGGAAGAGATTGAGCATCGTGACAGATTGATAGCGGCGAGGCGATGGATCGCGATTGACGATTGGGGGCGGGAGGGAGCTTCAACACGGGGGAGAGCTTGGAGCTGCCAGTGACAGCGCGCGCACGGCTTATCGGATGGTTGTAATCAAGCAAGTACAGGTCGCCTTGCACGCCGGTGGTTTCGTTGTCGTCGTCGTCAAGCGTCGTCGTGACGTGTCGTTTTGTTTGGGTTCGCGATGTTTTGGCGTCGTGACGTTGGAATTCTTGGGTTGCTGGGGAGGGAGCTTCGAGGCTGCGTTTAGCACAGCTGGCAGCTTTTTTGGGTTTCCAGGAGGTCGAAAGGACACGAACGCGATTGCAAGCTCATTGGAAGCTGGAACCGAACACTCGAGCCACACAACTAAACACTCAGGTGCCTTACGCAGTGCTTCGTACCGTACCTTACAGTGACTGGCCAGCGGCGACGGGAGCTGGTGTCCGCCTTACCTAATACGAGACATATCCGGCAGGGCTTAGGTAAGGCACGCGATGAAGATAAGACACTTTGCGCTCTTTCGTTCCTGGAGACTAAGGCATCTACCCGCTGTGGGGTCCTTCAGCATGGAGCCTACCTACTTGTAAGGTGCAGCACCTCGACTGAGTGAAATGCTGAGGTAATCATCCATGTAGGAACGGGTTCTCACACGCTTAGGTAAGGTAATCGGAGCGGAATCCCCGAATTTGCGCTACGGGAATCGCGGACTCCACTTTTAAGTCCAGGCCGCTGCCCCGAACGCGACGGAGGTCGGGGAGTTCCCAGGTGCGCCAAGATGTGACGTATTACAAAGCTGCCTGAATGACAAACCTCCGAGTGTCCCATCACGGGGTGGCCATCTGCGCCTCAGCCCGCACTCGTTGTGCTTCCCAACATTTCCATGAGTGCCACCCACTTCTGTATATAGACGCACAATTTGGCGCACTCCTTGCAACCCTGCACATATCTAGCAAAATACCAAGCTCTACGGATAAACCCGACTACGATCACCAATTCAAACCCCCCCACCAACCATGGCCGAACCACACTCTTGCGAGTCCGACTACGACGACTCCGCCGATGAAGCCATCACCATAACGCTCACCCACCGCAACACACCACACACCTTCAAGTATCCTCCGGATGGAACAATCACCCACCTCTCCGAAGATGTCGAAGACACCCTCTTGATCCCCGCCTCAAACCAAAAGTTCATCGTTCCGAAACTCGGCCTCCTCAAACCCCCCTTCAAAGACCCCGACATGTCCCTCGTCGACCTACAAAACAAAAAGATTATGCTCATGGGCGTCGAGGCAAAGGAGGTCGCCTCCCTTCAAGCCGCATCCGAGTTCGCCGCGAAACGAAACGCTGCCCGCAGCGCCGCCCGCAGACAGAACCGGCCCTCGAGGAGGCGAGACCAGGGCCGCGCGCAGGCGGACAGCACCTATACTTTCCTCTCCGTCCGACCGCTAGCAGGCCTCCCGCGTCCAGAGAGATCTCTGGCGCTTCTCGAGAAGCTGAAAGAGGACCCGGGCATCCGCGCCTCCATGCGCAAGCACAAGTTCAGCGTCGGCCTCTTGACGGAGATGGAACCCCTATCCAACACGCAGTCCAACCACGAGGGGACGACTCGACTCCTCGGCCTGAATCGCAATAATGGAGAAGCGATCGAACTGCGGCTGAGGACGGATGCGCACGACGGCTATAGAGACTACAAGACCATTCGCAAGACGTTGTGCCATGAGCTGGCGCATAACGTACACAGCGACCACGACCGCAACTTTTGGGACTTGTGCCATCAGATCGAGCGCGAGGTCGACGCGGCGGACTGGAAGCATGGCGGACACACGGTCGGAGAGGGGTCTTCGTACTATGCGCCGGGACAAGACGAGGAGGAGGACGTCGAGGACCACGGTGGTTGGGAAGGCGGCGATTTCGTCGTGGGAGGGAGCGGTGGTGGCAACGCTGGCTTGAGCCGACGAGAGATCCTGGCCAAGGCTGCAGAGGAGAGAGCCAAAAAGATGAACATGGAGAGGAGGGACGGAGGAAAGCCTGACTCTGGCCCGTCGTCGTAGAGGTTCTGCATGGTTCCCGGGGCAGCATTGAAGCGTTCGTATGGTGTTACTGTTACTCTGCTTTCTGGATTTAGCATTGCGCAGGCGTTGCGGTGGCTTGGATATGGGACATTAACTGACCTCGCTGGTCACGGAGTAGTTAGTCATCTCAATCACGATGAATGTCCGCTCTCTAAACGATTGGGTGCCCTCATAGGTGCTAGCATTGTGGTTTCGCATCATACTATCTTGCATGACCATCTAAACCCTTATTGCGACGGTTCATCTACCCTAAGGTAGAGACATCTTTCTACCCAACGGGTAAGCCATGCTGTTACTCGTACAAAATGCCGCCTTCTTCATGAATGCTGTGAAAAGAAAAGAACAAAAAGAGAGAGAGACCTCGTCCGAGTGTCCTCCCGGTATGATATCCCATTCCTAGAACGCCTTGATGCCATGCCTATGCCATGTCCGGAAACGCCGCCAATGCATGTAGGCGTACGGCGACGCCAATTGCTGTCGCCCAAATGCCCATGTTTTTCTGCTTCAAAATGGAACAAAACGGAAGAAGAAAAGAAAAGGAGTCGTGTAGCGGCTTGGGAAAGCCTGAGCTTGAACTGATCCACGCTCCAATCATGCAGATTTTGTAATCAGTGGAAGAAAACCGCCTTCAGCTATTGCTGTGTCTTGAGCCACTCCTTTTGCTCCGGCTCCCACTTGTGTCTGTATATCGTGTTAGTCGTGAAAATAAGAGTCGGAATTCCGCCGCCAGGATCAAAGCTTATTTAGGGGTAAGATAAAAACAAGCATGGGTCCCAACGTAGATCTAAACTTACCCTTGCCATTCGGTAGTCACCAAGCTCTTGGTACCGTACTCTTCGGAAAGAATGCGCTCAAAGCTGTAGGGAATGGTGGCGGGAACACCCTCGAACTCGGTCTCGCGCATGGGGAAAAGGTCGGTGGTGCGGTAGCGGTGGTAGTTCTTACAACTCCAGACACCAGGCATTCCGGAAGGGTCGCGCTCGGCGAGGCCAGTAATATCGATAAAGGCACCGTTGGCCATGTTGATCCAGCGGGCGTCAATGATGTTCTGGCCGTCGCCGCGGTCCTTGTCAGTGCCGTGGGGGTTGACGTCGAGCAGGTAGCGTTCTTTTCTGGCGTTGCCATCCTTGTCGGTCCAGTCGAAGTCGTGCTCGGTGCGGTTCAGGTTCTGGCCCATCCAATACAGAGTCGCCGTCGAGACCTGAACATCGAGGTCGTAATCCCAGGGCATGATCTTGCCGTTCCACCACCAACCCAGAAGCGTGCCGTGGGCGAGCCATGTCTCAACCTTGAGCTTCTTGGTAATGGTCAGATAGGAGCGGACGAGGTTGCGGAGAACAACACGGTGGTCGTCGTAGCCCACAGCTTGCTTGAAATAACGGATATCGTAGTGGCCAAGCTCTTCGCCACAGCAGGGCTCGTGGAAGTACTTGGTGTCCTCGCGCTTTTCGATGACCGGCGGTGAGGATTGGCTGACATCTCTAGCTGCTTGAGGTGCCGCAAGAACAGTTGATGTGAGGCCTAGCACGGCAAGGGGAAAAGTAAGGTTGAAGCGCATCTTGGCTAATTGCGTTGTGTTGTGACTTGAGTGGGATTCTTGAAATCGAGATCCAGAATGATGGGTGATTAGTCGGTAACAATGATGGCAAACAAGAATCCCCAAGTTCCAAAAATGGTGGGATGCTGCTGCTTGTCGAGTTTTCTGGAGGCCTCGTAATGCCAAGAAGTTGTCTTCGGGAGGTGGCCGATGCGAGGCAGGAAGGAGGTGAAGGTGGATATGACAGGAGCCAGAGAGGCCGATGAGGGTAATTCGTTTGTTGACTGCCTCAAGTCAAGTTCGGTGAGTGATAGCAAGCGACTGGGATAAACGAGAGAAAGCGTAGAATAATCCTTTCGATTTCTGAAGTCGGTCAAAAACAGAGAGTGGGCGGATTTTTTTGGGTATTGTTGAAGCTGGTCAGGCGATGGCGGTATATAAGACGAGTTCCAGAGGGCGGGACCGAGGGCGAGGGGAGCTGATCAACTCTGAAGCAGAGGACGAGATGGTGAAATGTGTTGCTGCAGGTGTTCAGACCGTGATGTCGAGGTCAGGTCTATGTCTATGTTACCGAAGGATGTCAAAACACGCAGATGCCAAGAAATAAGAGGTAAGAGAAGAAGACCGGCGCGGACATTAGGGATGCGCAGCAGGGCAGGAGGAGGTGATATGTATGTAAGTACATAGAATGGATGTGTGGGAGGTGGATGGAGTGGGATTCGTGTATTCATACATGGGAGTGTGAGTGAATGAGAGACTGGGCCAGAGGAGAGAGAAAGAGAGAGAGAGAGGCGTGTGGTGACGGGAGACGGGTGAGGGATGGAGGTGTGAGGGTGTGGGAGTGGGCTTGTGGAGGGTGTGTGGTGATCCCGGTCATGGTATTAGTGCAGCATCCCGAGTCCCGCCATGGCAAAGAATCCCCACGCAGACCATGGAGCACCTATGGAACTGGATTTTTTGGAGGGTTTTTTTTTTCTCTTGCAGCTTTCGCTTTCTTTGCCAAGATGATAATGCTCCTACAGGCTCCAGTCTTTCCGAGGGGCCTCCTTTCTCGCATTTGACTGATCCTTTTTGTTGTATATTCCACAGAGCCAAGAGAACAAGAACAACAACGAAAGGTCATCTCACAGGGGATCACTTCCTATGTCCCGCCTCCAGCCTAACCGTTCCACTGTCTAAGCCGCCTGGGTCGCAAGTAACGGTACGGTAGTAGCAGTAAGGTATCCGTACGGAGTATGGGCTATGGATAGCTACTGGGTACTACGTAGAGGGCGTACGTACGCAGTACTATGGTGGTAAAAAGCAGACACCCACATTCCTTTGCGAGAGAGTCGGAAAGAGACTGAGACTGGCGGATTTGCGCGTATGCGCCATGTTTGAGCGGCATACGTAATCCCGCGTCGAAAGGAGTTGATGGAGGCAGGGCGGACAGGGCCCGGGCTGTCGCCGGTGGCCGGGAGCGGGTGACAAGCCGCGTCCTACGGTGGTACTAGACACTGCTGCGCCTGCTCATGCCGCGAGTGTATTCGTAGCCAGACCGTACGGATAGACAAGGGCCCATTAGGATCCAGTAAAGGTTAATTAAAAACACAAAAATCAACACAGACTGGCGAGGGTCTGGTCTGAGGAGGACAGGAGCATCCCGCCGTACGGAGTACCTTAGGGAACAATCTCAAAAAAGAAGCTTGAGCAAAATGGGACCCGGTGGGTGTGGTCCGGGAAAGACGGGGGTCAAGGTAGCAGGGGTGAGAGAAAGGAGACGACGTTGGAGCGTGGGCGGAATATCAGAATCTGCAGTTGGCAGTTGCGTTGCGGTTGCGCGGTTGCGCAGTTGCAGTTGCAGTTGCACTTGCACTTGGCACTTGCCCCTCTGACTCTCTCCAAAGCTCGGAACGGCAGGGGTGGAGACGGGGGTCCTGCCATTGGGCGTTTGGGTAGGTACGGAGTACGGGGGTTACACCCTTCCATCAAGAGGGCAAGTGTCGTGTGCTCCTGCTGTTGCTCGCTTTCTGCTCTCGTGCTTCTTCTCCTTTCTTGGTGACGGTTCTTGTCGTCTTTGCAACTTGCAACTTCCAAGTGCAGGCAGGTGGTCCCAGACTTCCCAGACTTGCCAGTCGCCGCATAAGCCGCTAACGGGCTTGGCACAATTTGGGGGTGGCTCCAGCGTCAAGGTCAGCGCCGGTGCCACTTGCGCGGAGCTAAGGGGACATAGTCGACTAGCCGATATCTGCCTTGCTCTCTTGAGTTTCGATATCGCCCTTGGCTGTCACATTGTGTACTTGTATGCACCGCCGTTTGCTCGGTGCTAGGCTTAGTGCCGAGTGTGCCGACGGGCCGGGTAACTTGTAGTGACTAACAACCACTCTGGCATAGGTTGTCTTGACGATCTGATATCAGCAGCATAGTCCGAAGGGGCAGTCAGTCAGCCGCAAAGTCAATGGCAGTCGTCTCAAGTCATCTCACAGGGAATCTCAATCAAGAGGACCACGAGCGAAAATGTATGAAAGGAAAATGCACCTAGGCGAATTCGTTTAAGCGAATGCCGAGGTGGAGGGGGACCCGGGCCATCGCCGTTTGGCCGAAACGGCAAGTGAGCACCTGACGATGGGAACTGTGATCCTTCCTTATCAGAGCTGCCAACGTCACAATGGAACCTCCCCAAATCCCTTCCCTCCTCCCCCCGGAGCCATACCTAGACCCATCCAGGTGGAAGGAGCCCCTGTCTGCTACTTCCCAATTTTTAGTGTATGATCGTTTCTGCCCGGGAGGCACACATCCAGATTCTGGGCGGTTCCTTCCATGATACCCCAAATCACCAATTTCACGGTCGCGGGACCGAGATATCGATGACGGGGCGATTTAGTACTTCCATTTACTGCGTACCTTACCTGGGTACGAAGTACACAGCCAATGAGGCAAGTCCCGGGCCAAGTCACTCATGGAAGTGTCGCGTGCCCATTGACGATTACCAACACCCACAGATTCCCATCAGACATTCTCAGGCAGTCATCCTTCATCCGATGTCGATTCCCCCGAAATCTGCATATTTGCCTTCCAGGCTTCAAACAATTGAAAGCAGCCAAGGCCATCATCCACCGCTGCGCCCGACGGTCACGGACACACACACATGGCCTAGGTACCTTACCTTAATTGGCATCGGATCAAACAACTTGGGACAAATTTGAGTGCCGTACTCCGTATCTAAGAGGTACACAGGCACACACGGCACGACCCCATTTCCTACCCTCGCACCATGGCTTACATGGGCAGATTGGCGCGGCTTTGGTTCCTTGAGAGTCTCACTGTCAACTTCTCGTGTCTCAACGCGCCCGCCCCCTTGGCGCCATTCAGCTTCTCCCCTCCCCGTCCAATGACGTGAGGCCGCTCCGTCGGGGCTTCACCTTGGCCGTCACTGGGCCTTTTGGCGATATGCGCGCCGGCAACACAGTCAATCCCGTTCCGCTACTTGGCATACAGGATCCGACCAGACCGTACTCCGTATCGCGTACGTATGGATATACTATGGAAACAACAAATGCGGTGTTCGATCAGAATGCAAGGCTTAGGACTGCAGCTGAAGATCCAACAAACCAACGGCCTCATTCAGTGCTCAACGACTTGCAGTCAGCGGATAGTTATAATTCTACACCCCTCGCCCCGGCTGCCAGGCCCATAGGTATCCAGCATCAATCCGCTCCGCGTATGGCAATCAGCGGCTCTGCCTCAGCGCAACGTCTGATATGGAGAATAAACGTCCCAAATTGATACGACTGGCACCGAAAGACACGATGAACGACTCGAGTTGTCCATCCGAACCCACCAGGTCGATCAAACGATGTCCAACCAGATTGTGCACAGAGGGCAGAGGCCAGTGGCATGGCTGAAAACTGAAATATTCAGGGCCCAAAGAAAGACCCCTTTCCCCTTCCACAAGTCTAAGAGAAACGTCCCGGCACCAGCGACCTCACCTTTCCATTTTCACCGTTCCGCTCTGAGAGACTCACGCCCTCAACTCGCAGGCTTTCTTCCAGTCCTCACGCCTCTCAGTCTCGGCTGGTCAATCATCCTCAGTGCGCTCCAATTGGCACTTGGCGCCGGTGGCCCCACAGCGACGCGTGGCCCTGCAAGACACCCCTGCCACTTATCCCTTTTGGCGACAACGGCTGTCTGCAACTTTTGTTCCCAGTCGAACCAGGCGCCGCTGTCCCCTTTTTTTTTTCTGCCCATTGATTATTCTTTTTAGATGCATAATTCAGCACCAGGACTACCTTACGAATCTACAGATTACCATACTCCATACAACTGGGCATGATACTGTACGCCGTGGCGCATGCCTCCCGCTGTTTGTGGCTCAATCACTTCCGCTCCGCCCATCGTCCGTTTCCCTCCCCGTCTTCGCTGGTCCGATGTCGTTGCTGGTTGGACCCAGAGCTAGGTTACCAAACAGTGACCGACCCATTTTCTCTTTTGACGGCTCACGGCACGTTCAACGAGTTGTCGCTAGTCAACACAAGTTTGGCGGCTAGCAACAGAAGCTTTCGTGGCACCCCGGTTTCAGGTTTCTCCTGTCAACTATGGCAACTCGTCACTGGCCGCGTGGTTGGCGTCGACAACCGGCATCCTGTGCCGAGGGCGACAACAACTTGCAGTCGGAAGACAGCTGTGGCTTTCAGCTTGGGAAGCATCGCTCAGAACTTGCTACCTAGGTAGCGGGAAGGGAGGCGGCAATCATAGTGAAATGAGGAAGCAATCCGATGTCCGCACTCGTGTCTACACTCAATTGTGGCTGCATGCCTCGGCGCCGAACCGGCCAAACAAGAACAACAACAAACCACTACCAAACACACTACAGCCTTGGTACGGATTACCATGCTCATCCTTATACGAAATCAGATCACAGTTAGCGGTGCAGTGATACTTTCGTACAGTCTCTCTCCCCACGGCGTCAGCAAGATGACCCTGTCACTCTCCAGAATCCAGACAAGAAAAGGCTGGGGATCTCGCAAAGCGTTATGGTTGGTGGTGGGAGAATTGGCATTGTCTTGGCCGTCTGCCGGTGCTCCCGACTGAACACACGCCCTCGAATTGTCTCAGTCTTCCAACCGTCGGGCGAAGAGAAGGAATGCCTGAATCAAATTGACGGAATCCTTCGAGAGGTTCTCGCCCATACTGTTACTATTTCCGCCGCGACTGGAGAATGCTCTTCATCAACCGTTTATTCCACCCACCAGGACTTTGGACTTGGTCTCAGGCCCCAGGCGCGTCGAACTACGAATAGATCCTGGAGGCCTGGACATTGTTCAAAGTGGAGAGACTCTGGGTATGCGTGCGAATACGTCTGCGCCTCTATCTTTGCACTCATCGCATCTGCCCCACTGCTCATGCAAGGTTCGCCTTTAATGCAGATAAGCATCATAGGAAGAGGGCGAGGGTCAGTGAGAGGCTCTTGGCCGGGGGCCATCGTCCAAGGGGCAGCCTGGATTATCATCAACTGACAAGAAAGACTAAAATTTCATTCTCTTCAAACGGGTGGTCGCTCACACGACACACAACCAGGGCAGCAATGGCGAAAAGATGACGCCAAGCATCCACCCAACCATAGGGCTCACGCCACAACCCGATGCAGTCTTGCACATCACCATGATCGATATTAATTACCCGGTGTTGCCGTTGACGTGTGCGCCGTAATGTGGGCAGGGCTGAGTCCCGGGACTCGTCGGCGGCACCGCCCCCGCGACGAAAGCATCCAGTTCCGCCCCGCTCTACCGGCCTTCCGCGCCTCTTACGGCGACCGCGCAAGCTACTCCGGCCTCCTGATCCATGATGATCCCCGTTTTGCCCGTTCCCAAGACGGCCGGGAGGAGGTCCTCGTTCCCTGACCCGGAAATGCGGTAAACTTTATTTGAGAGCTCGTCAGTGCTTCCGGTTCGGGATACCAAGCCTCGGGACTGGTGATTATGCTTGTCAAAAGTCTATTCCTGGCCCCCAAAACTGGTACGGATACGGCACATGACGCTGACACCACACCGTCCGTAATCGACTGCCGGCTTGGCTCTATAACGGCGAATGCCTAGACGAGCTGGGTTCATTGAAGCAGTCTTCCGATTACTGGGCAGGCACTACCGCATAGTCAGCAGTCCACGTCAGTGTGAAGCTTGTTCGGTGAAGCCTCGATCGAGGCTTACTGAAGGCGCCAAAGTTGATGCCCTTAGGACCTCTACTTCATTGATCACAGCTAGAAGGCCTTCTTCGACCTTTGTAGACCATCGTGTGCTGCATAGAAAGGCTTCTGCTCAAGTGATAATTACGTCAAGAATTCGGGAGGCTTGTTTGCAAACGGCCAAGCAGTCGCACGTGGGTCGCCATGTTGTCTACTCGGCACTTTCATCCGTGACAAAGGCAGATGGACGGCAGTTGCCGCTCATCCGTAGACGTAAACCGTGTAGCTCACATAAGAATTCCCCAGTCTAGTAGTAGGGTCCCCTCTGGTGTTGAATGAGAAGGCCTGCTGAACTATCGCATAAGCATAAATAACATGGATTGTTCTTGCTGCCGTCAACTACCTGAAGGAGAAAAAGGCGGATCATGCTATAAATTGTTCATTGTCATTAGATAATCATGCCGGCCTTAACATCTCTTGCCTGCGACTATAGGAACTTGGAGAGGTCTACGGAGCATTTCAACTTTTCGCATAACGTATGAATCCACACTTGGCCTCACCTCGCGGCGCAAAAGTAGAAATCCCCAAATAAGTCCAGTTTTCCGTCTTGTGAGGTAACAGGCGTCGAAGGGGAATAACAAACAAGCTATTGGATTATATACCGCGGGATTCTTCGCGAAATATGTAATGCAAGTTGGGTCCCAAAGAACTTGGAAATACTGAAATGTATGTTTCATGAGAAACATCGATAAAATGCAGTGGAGGGCCTGATTCTTAACGTTGAACTTGATCTTGATCTCAGCCCCGAAAGGATCTTTTCAAAGTTGGTAAGTGCCATTGGCTGCGCGGAGAGGAAATCCGGTATTGCCTCTGAACTCCATTATCAAGTTTTCTTGCCGATCGTCCTCGCAGGTCAGAGATGGCCTTCCTCGATCTTACGAAACACGACGATACCCATTCCAACTTTCATTCATATGATATTCCAATGTTCAAAAATCGTCAGCAGCGTATGTTGGTTTCCGAAACTTTAGCATGATATTGTTCACTGATACACCCGTTCATGCAGGAAAGCGTTTGTGCTCTTTTTCTCTCATCTATAACCTAGACCTGGAAACCCACTCACGATACTGGATCTTAAATGAGCCAGACTGCTGAGGAGATCGAGATGCTTCTCGAAACATGGTTTACGGGAACTTGCTTACTTGTGTCGTGCCCTGGCTGAAGTATCTGATGGCCATACCTTAGCATATGCCATCCTCGGAATTGACCCGAGTTTCCAGCTCCAGGAGCCAAGTCAATCAGCTTGCCGTACCTACCCTTCTTGAGTAGAACGGCCTCTCGGTTACGCTGTCCGTCTCCCACGGCGCACTATACTGGATCATATAACGCGGACATACCTTGGTCTGACATCCATTTCACATATGGTTTTGACTGGATCTACTGACTTCCTTTCAATACCACAGGGGACAAGCAGCAGATTCATGTGTTGGATGTCAATGCCATATGGCTCTACGCTTTCGAAGACATGAAGATGTCAACGAGTCTGGGCCAATTGGTTCCCAGAATCTTCATCACGATGGCGTAAAGATCACTAGATTGTCCAAGATCGGGCAGATGCTTCAGGTTGGGTCTCGCAGAGACTCCATTGCTGAACGAGTTTAAGCATTATCTCACGAACGTCTAAATATACATCGGTAAGCTGAACCAGCTTCTGCTTGCTTGAGCGAATGAATCATGTCTGCTCATGGAGCTGACTTTCGCCATCGGAGGGAGTGCTCAATTGCCTTCTCAACAACACCTGCCCCGTGTTTGACATCACTGCACCATGCACTCCGTTTTCAATCGTCATGCCTACCCCTCAGCAACGAGCACAATTTCGACCCGGGGTTCATTGAAGAGGAAACTTACCCATGGTACGAGTGGTTACTGCATCTTTCGCGACAATGAAATTGCAACCCTCAGCAGACAAGCGCAGCTGAACGGACAACACGAGGGCGTGGCTCGCTTGGTATCGTATTGAATACATCTATATACCCAGTGCTTAAAGGAATGACCCTACGGAGCACAGACGTTCTGTTCTATAGGGGAAAAGCAACCCATCGAAAGAGTAGTGTCCAATATGTTCGGTGCTCTACTCGACATGGCACCTCACGCACCATGTACAATATAAAAACGCCCTGGAATGCACCCAAAGACTATCGTGGTATCCCGCGTGTCCGATTTCCTGCCCTATTATCGTGCCGTCTTTTCCCAATCTCGCAAACAGTCGTTACTCATGAACTCTCATTCCCCCACGCAGTCTGCCGGCGACATGGCCTACAAGCGGATGTTGATGTCTAGGCAGTCAACCCGCCATTCCCTCCGGCCCAGCAGACTACGCAACCACTCGATGCCCAAGCCCGTCCATTCCTGTCTCTGCCGCGCGAGCTCTTCTGCCGCGGCTCCGGCGAGGGCGCTGGCTGTGGAGTTGATGACTTCCACCACGGAGGCGTTGAAGCTGGTGTTCGGATCGAGCTCGGGGAGCGGAAGAGAAGAAGGCGGGCGGGGTTGGAACCAGTTGCTGCTAAAGTCGAAGAAGCAGCGGTCGGACCAGTTGCACGAGGTGAGGAAGAGGATCAACAGCAGAAAGCTGCAGTAGACGCAGGGCCTGTTGAGGAAATAGGTGCAGATAAAGAAGAGGAAGATGAAGGCCGGCGAGGCGTTGGTCGGGATGAAGAGGAGGGGAAGCCAGCTATGAGGGAGTTGTCAACAGGGATATCTACAATAGGTCGGGGGTATTGCTTCACGATGCTCACCTCCTTAAACAGAACATGGTGACGGGCGTGCGAGAGGGCCGTGACGTAGATGAGGGCGACGTGGGGTCCCTGAAAGGTTGCTGGCGTCGGTAGGGGAAGGGGGTTTCCCCAGGCTGAGTGCTTCCCTCAGCGCGATATCGAAATAGGAGACGTTGCCACGTTTCGACAGTACAAATGCTGGTTCAACCGATTCGCGAACGGCGCAGGGTTGGAGCGCAGCGAGGTCCTGTGTGTCTGGGATGTTTGTGTAATCGCAAACGACTTGGAGGTCTTCAGTTGGGTCAAAGTATGCGAACTGCACACGAAGTCGGCAAGGGGTCCAATGCGAGGAATGATCTTGTGGTTCGTTGTGGAATCTGGGAGCAGCGAGAAATCGTCGAATTCAGGAACCAGTGATACAATCTGACAATGTCATGGAATGCAAGGCGAGGCGGGATGGCGTCGAAGACGTTTACTGGTTGCGTGCAGATCTGTTGCAGGCGACAGCCTCTCTTTCTTTCTGTCAGGCTGTCTGGGACTCTGGGGTCTCGGAACAGGCATTTGGGGATCTTGCTTACGTCAGGAAATCAGATGTACTGGGTAAGGTACTCAGCAAGGTAGCACGGCTTGGTAGGCACGGTAGGTAATTATGTACGAACCCGATTCTGCAAGCAGCTTGAATGCCGGGGAAGGGGCCATCTTCCCTCAGGTACCTACCTAAGGTAAGGTAGATGGTGGATGATTAGGTAATGAACCAAGATCGGTACGTGTGGGAGCAGTGTGAGCGGGGAGGAAAGACCACCAGTGGCACGTCCCCACGTCGTCCGCCACGTAGCGCACAGACCAGCTGCATCCTGCTGGTCTGCCCAAGCACCAGTTGCACCCAAGCAAGCACCCATGGCCGCCAGCAGCAGCAGCAGCAGCAGCAGCAGCAGCAGCAGCACCCAAGCTCTTCTTCAATTCTCCATCCTACAAGTAATAGGCCAGCCGACGAAGAAATATACCTCCGTTACCTAAGCTTCCCTGCCCAGGCACAGGAACCTATCACCTCCAGATCGCCTCAAACAGCACCCGCGCTGGCACTACATACCTACACTAAGGCACCGCCGATTGAAGGACCCCAAGACACGCCCGGGCCCAAACTGCACTAAATCGAGTGGTCGCTGGCAAATCGCACCTTAGGTTGGCTTCCCGCACTGCCTCAGACACCTCCAGTCCAGGCCTGTCTTAGCACCGTAGGTACCACTCCACTGTACCTACCTGACCTAGGGTCCATACCTAAGGTAAGGTATCTTAAGGTATCTTAAGGTCCATACCTAGGGTACCTATCCGTACAGGGCAACTGCAAAGACGCGCCGGGCCTTTGTTGCTTCCGTCCAGACACCTGGGGAAAGCACGGAAAGAGCTACTTCGGACAGGCGCAGTCGAGAGGTCGTTCCTTCCTCTCAAAATTCAACCACGTCACCCCCCTGCTCTTGCTCCTTGCTCTCTTGCTCGCGCTACAGGGTTGTGCCACCTTTAGGTTGGGCTCTCAGGAATTCCAGCGCCGCCAGCCTCTCCCATCGTTCCATTCTCCGTCCCAAAATTTATTTTCGATATCCCATACCTTCACCTAACCTCACCTTCTTCCTCCTCCTCCTCCTCCTCCCTCAAAAACCCTCAATTCGCAAGAAAATTAACACATTCTCGTGTAACGACGGAAGGGTCTGCTCGTCAATTGTCCTTCATTTCCCTCGTCGGATCACGTCCCTTGCCACTCTCTGCATCTCCTCTTTCCTCCTCCTCCCCCAAACTTCCTCACATCAACGGGCGCCATCATGGTGTCTCCCATGCCTCCCGCACCGACACCCCCTGGTGGCAGTATGCCCTCAAACGGCGATCGCAGCAACAATTTGCTGAATTTGCTCAAGTTCAGCGGTGTCGGAAGTGCGTCGGCTGCGCAGGCTCGCCAGGAAGGCTATCAGCAGCAGCAACAGCAGCAGCAGCAACAGTCTCCCCAGCAGCAGCAAGCCCAGCAGCACCACTACCAACAATCACCGCAGCAGCAGCAGCATCATCACCAGCATCAACAGTTGCAGCATCAGCCCCACCAGTCCCAGCCTCAGCCTCATCAGCAAGGCCGTGACTCATCCTCGACGATGCCTTCGTCCATTCCGACGCAGATCGTCGCACCCGCCCGCGCCCCGGCCGACCCTACCGGCCTGCTCGCCGCTCTGATGAAAGGAGCTCACGATGGCGAGGAGTCGCGTTCCGAGCCGCCTCAAAACGGCTCCTTCTCGACTTTTGGCGCATCGTCGCCCCCCGACGATACGCGCGCCTATCTCTTGAACTTGCTGAACCGTCCGAAGCCCAGTCAGAATGACTTGCTTCTGTCCGAGTCCACCCGTTCCAACCCCCCTCAGGCGGGCGAAAACATCCTTCACAGGGTGCTCGCTGAAGCCGGCCAAGCTCCCAACTTGTCCCACATGGCTCCCAACTCGTTCGAGTACGACCCCAACAGCTACGCTCAATCGAGCGGCAACTATGGCGCCTACTCGTTCCCTTCCACCCAAGATTCGAACCACCACGTCGCCCAGCACCAGCACCAGCAGCAGTATGGCTACAATACCAACCACAACGGCAGCAGCTTCGACGAGTCTCAAATCACTTCGCCACACAACAGAACTCCCAAGACAGGTTCGATCTCGGGAATTGCCCCACCTCAGTCGTCTGGCCAGTCACCTGCTGGTCCGGCTTTTCAGATCCTCAAAAAGGCTCACGACTCGCCGAGCTCTCACCACTCCCATCACTCCCATCACGGAAGCGAGTCCAAGCGCATCGTCAACGAGCACCGCAGCCCTCTCGCCAGTCCCGAGCGCCTTCGTCACAGCTTCGGCCACGGTTCTTCTCCTGCAGACAAGCTTGCTAATCCTACGCCGGGCTCCACTGCCTCGTATGCGAGCATCCCTGCCGAGAAGAACAAGGAGACGGTTTCCGAGGCAATCCACGATATTGCCCAGCAAGCCGACTACGAGGCCCAGCAAGCTCTGGCCCGCGCTGAGGAAGAGCAGTCGCGACCAGAGTACCTGCAGGATCTCGAAGATATGGACACCGCCCGTACTGAGAGGGAGTTTGAGGAGAGCGCCCACCATGCTGCTCAAGCCATCAAGAAGGAGCTCGAACGCGAGGAGAATAGAGATCTCCTCGAAAAGGTTGTCTCCGCCGAGGTGGCTGAGGAGGTTCGCGAGATCATCGAGGAGGCTGCGAGCCATGCCGTCGCCGACAGCTGGGAGAGCGCCGACCAGGACGAGATTGTCGTGATCGAGGAGGAAACTCCCGCTCCCGTAAAGGTCTTCAACTTCCCCATGAAGCCTTGGATCTCAATTGCTCTGCAGGACAGCGCTACCGAGCCTCGACCTCAATTCAGAGACGATGCCATCATGGATATTGCCCGTCTCAAGAAAGAGTTTGACCAAATTGACCGCAATCTCTACACGGCCACCGAGAACTACATGGCGTACGGCATGTCCAAGGCTGGTGGTCTCCGCGTCATTAGGCAAGACGACGGCAAGGACGCCAAGATCTTCACCGACACCAAGGACCGCATCTTCAATGTTGCCATGTCCGTCACTCCCACTGACCATACCGGCATCCACCGCGAGGCCATCATTGGCACTGGCATCACTGGGACTGTCTACTGGGTTCAGATCAAGAGTGGCGAGAAAGACCACATTGAGGATGCCCACCCCGAGCAGTACGGCTTCGCTCTGCCCCCCATGGCTTCCCACGAAGGTGGCGATGCCCCTGGCGGCGTTCTCAAGACCCGTGCCCGCACGTCCACCATCCACCCCGAGTTCTTCGCCGTTGGCCGCGGCAAGTCCATCAACATCATCTGGCCCACATACATCATGCAGAACAACCTGTTCAAGCCTGGCCACGACCGCGTCGTCGATACGGAGAGATTGGCTAAGCAGTGCTCGTTGAAGATCAATACCGGTAAGGCCGGTAAAGACTTCACGTTCAGTCAGGACGATAGCGTGATAGTGTCTCTTGACAAGTCTGGACGTGTCAAGTTCTGGGACGTCCGTGACCTGACTGCCGCCAAGGAGGGCAGCGACCCCCGTGCGCCCATTCCCGCACACACTTCATTGGAGGTGAAGGAACCTCTCATGACCCTCACCAGCACTCCCGAGGGCGAGAAGGCGTGGCCTACATCTGTTCTCCTGGTCGACAAGCTTCGCCCGTACCAAAAGCGCTGCGCTCTGCGTTACATGATCATTGGAATGAAGCAGAACCACACTCTGCAGCTCTGGGATCTTGCGCTCGGCAAACCTGTTCAGGAGTTCAACCTTCCCCACACCAAAGAGTCTGACGCTGTTTGCAGCGTCATGTACCACCCTCCTACTGGCATGCTGGTGATAGGACACCCGACCCGCAACTCCATCTACTTTGCGCATCTTTCGGCTCCTAAGTACAACTTGAAGAGCGTTTCGCAGGTGGACTACATCCAGCGTCTGGTTGCCCAGGACACCACCATCCCCGCACCCGACTCGACTGCCGTTATCAGCGGCGTTCGTGAATACTCGTTTGCAAACCGTGGCATCCTGCGCAGTCTCGACATCCTCTGCAACCCTGCTATGGCTCAAGAGACTGACGAGCCTACTCTGTTTGAACTCTATGCCATGCATTCCAAGGGAGTCGCGTGCCTTTTGATCAAGCAGGCTGAACTCGGCTGGACCAAGGACAACAAGGTCTTGGCACCCGTTGACGCAGTTGACGCAGGTGTTGTTACTATTTCGAAGCTCAAGCCCCCCGCCAGCCAGCCCGCTGAGCCCAATCACCAGAATGCCGAAGGCACCCACCCCTCGGCTCGCAACATTGCCAAGGACTCCCTTCTGCAGACCACACCTTCTCACGATGACAACGCTCCCCGTCGCGGTCCCGAGTCTGTCACGCCGGTCAAGATCGCCAAGGCGGAGCCAAAGGAGGAGGAGACGCCAGTTCCTGCTCCCGCTCCTGTCAAGGAGGAGAAGCCGGAGCGTAAGAGCCGCAAGAAGAAGGCAGCCGCAGCAGCCGCAGCCGCCGCTGCTGCCGGCAACGAGCAAACGAATGGCTCGCCCCGTGTTGGTCCTTCCAACAACAACAATTCCAACTCCAAGGATTCGAGTAAATCTTCCGGCAACAACTCCAACTCGAACTCCATCACCCAAGAGTCTGTCGAATCAGCAATCAGCAGCATGGAGACTCGCCTCCAGAATGGATTCAATAATTTGCTCAACTCATCCTTCAAGACGCTCCACGGCCGCATTGACGAGGGCCTGCGCGCTCGCGAGGCCGACTTCGACGACCGCCAGCTGAAGCTCCTGAACATGGTCTCGGAGGTCCTCAACGAGAACACCCAAAAGGTTCTCGAGGCTCTCATCCAGGAACAGTTCAGCAACGCGGTTATTCCAGCTATTGCTGACGTCGCCGGCAAGGCTGTTTCTGACCAGTTCACCAAGAGCATGAACAACCAAGTCTCGCACTCCGTTCAGAAGGAGATTCACAAGGCCCTTCCTTCCGCGACTCAGCACGCGCTGCAGAATGGCGACTTTGTGAAGGCCATCTCGGATAGAGTCGGAGCTACGGTGGCAGCCAACGTCCAGCAAGAGGTCGTCAATACTTTGACCTCTCGCCTGGCTCCCTCCTTCACCAATATGGCGACCCAGGCTTGCCAGCGCGTCGTCGGTGAACTCCAGAAGCAGCACCGCACTGAAATGGAGACTCTCAATGCCCAGCGCCTCGCCGAGAGCAACAAGGTTGATCAGCTCTCTGCCATTGTGACTCGTCTTACTGGCACGATCTCGAGCATGGCGGCGTCCCAGGAGCAATTCCAGAACGAGTTCCTCAAGTTCCAGCAGCAGATGATCCGCGTTCAGGCTCAGGCCCAGCAGCAACAGCAGCAGCAGCAGCCTCAACAGGTGCCACATCACCAGCAGGCCCCCTCCTACGCCCCTTCTGTTGTTAGCCAAGTTCCCAGCCAGGTCCCTAGCCACATGCAGAGTCAGGCTTACAGCAACCTGCAAAGTCCTGACAGGGCTTCGCAGCACTCCATGAGCTACAGCGGCCACTCTCAGGCTCTCACGGTGGCCAAGTCCAACAACGAGTACGATGCCGATCTCCAAGCTCGCATTGCTGTCGTCAACCAGCCGATGAAGGAAGGCAGAGCCGAGGAGGCTGTCGTCCGCTGGATGCAATCTGGCCGTGAGCAAGAAGTGTTCGAAAAGTACATGTCCAAGTACAGCCCCGAATTCGTCCGCAACCTGCCGCACCTCGTTCTCTTGACCGTGACTGCCACGGTCAGTCTGAACTTGGAGTCATACACTCGTGAGAGAATCGCCTGGCTCGAAATGGTTGTGCACAGCCTCCAGGTCTCGCTCGGCGAAATGGTGAGTTATTCTGACTTTTTGTCTAAACAATTCGATGCTAACGAATTTTCAGGATGGTGACGCTCGTGCGGTTACACCAAAGATTATGGGTATGCTGGTGGCCCGCGTTGAGGGTCTCTTCGTTCGCATCAGCAGCACGTCGGGCAACGACCCGGTTCTCAAGAACCTCTCGCAGATTATTGTCAACGCGAAGCGGGTGATTGACGCGTGCCAGGACGAGCAGCAGTATGCTTGAGAAGCCAAGAGATGGGGGTAATTACTTCTCACACCTGACCCAATGACGACATGACGATATCAAGTACATAAGACATTTCGACACCATACACATTTGCAGGATGGCCTTGCTACAAGGCATGGTTACGATGTTGAGGGGATACGTCCCTCTAAAGACTGGTTGGGCACGATAGCTGACAGTCGATACCTCAGTGCACATATGGCTGCGTTTTCTTTGGCATTTGGAGAATGGGGTCTGTGAATACGTTTTTCAATGGGAGGCGTATTACAGGCATGCGAATGGAGTAGTTTGGGCTCCAATGGATGGATCTGCGTGAGGATGGCTGACAAGATTCCCAAACCTTTTCTTTTCTCTTCTTTTTTCCTTCCGTTGTAATAAGTGGTACGCTTGGGTGTCGGGACGAACCAGAAAAGGCTTAGGGGCGAGGGCATTTGGACGACGACCCAGAGTCTATGGTATTCTTGGGGTTGGATGATTCCATTGGGACGTTATCTCGCCGTCTGAAACAGGAATATCAAGGCATGATCTACCTTAGCTTGGGACGTTGGTTGTGTGACTATTTGTGTAACATGACGTGAGGTGTAGGAGTGTAAGGCTGTTCTACCTCAGGCTTCAGGGCATTGGCCGACCATTGTAATGGAATCAACTCTCCAGGACCAGCACATACGACCACACCCATCAGAGAATTCGGGATCCCGTCCGCTCTCCCATAGACAAGCTGATGAGGGCCAGACTAGTAGTTGAGTCGGTGACGATCAGCGAATACCTGGTGTTGTATGTATTTTTGCTACGTTTTACTGTTCAGTTCCAGGTCCACTCGTAATTGTTTGCTAGGAGGGGGAGGCTGGGCCGGGGGTAGAAAGGTATTGAATCGCAGCTCAGTTATACCGACACTTTCAACCCAACTTCATCGCATAGATATTGAGGATGTGGGAATAGATACTCGTCCCTATTGTCTTAATGGAAGTATACGGCAGTAAGGTACCCACGTACGCTAGAAAGTAGCGAGGTCATCGTCGGACAAGAATGGAGGATTTTGTTACATAATCATCGAGATAGCAATGTGGCCTGTGCCCCTGAAGAGACGGCAGAACCTTGCAGGTTTGCAGGGCTTGATGCCTGACAGCCTCACACCCTCTTAGGCGCTGTCTGATTGGACAAGTGGCTGGCGGCAAGAGCAGGACACCTGTGCTCACTGCTCCGTCGCTGTTCAGTTTTTGGGGAAAGCTCGAGTCACACAGCACGGTACAACGCCTGCCCTGTGGTACCTATGGCAGCAGGAGCCACCCAGCTCAGTAAAGCCAGGAACGTACGTACCTTGAAGTTTGAACATGGAGAGGAAGGAACCATAAGGCCAGACCCAGACAGGTGACGGGAAAGAAGCAGCGCTTCAGATACCTCCATTTCTGCAGCGAATACCTAAGGTAGGTAGGTACCTTAGGTACATGCCTCTCACCCTCCAGGTCTCTCTGCCCGTGCTGTTGGCCCGAATTGAAGTCAAGATCTTTGCGGCCACCTCTATAGGTAGCCAAGCTGCCAGTTTCCACCCAACCAAGCTATCTAAGGTATTCTTTGTTCTTGGGGGAGATAATTCCGACTTCATCAAGGGCATGCCGCCTTTCCAAGTTCCAACCATCCAACACGTAGTTTTTCCGCCCCCTCGACCGGGCCAATTGCGTTTGAGAGAGTGTTCCCATCCACTGCAAGGTACATGGACTCTATCACTCCAAAGTACCTTACCTCAGCAGCACTTTCAGGTACACCCATCCATCCAGAGCACCCCATAAGGTACAGACAGACAGAGAGACAGACGCCAACGCGACAGCAGCAAAGCTCCAATTGATTTGACCAGGGGTGTGCCAACGCCAACAGCACCAAGCACAGCTCCGACCACCGCTTTAGGGGCTTTGGACCTGGATTTGGATTGACAACCACCTTTTTCCCACCTCACGACGACACGACACGACACCACGACCACGACGGCAAAGACCGCTGCGCCAGCTCCTTGACGAGTCGCCGCCGATACCTTTTGACTTTGTTTGCTCGTCTGATGTAAGGACGACGCACCATCATCACCTCGAGACGATACCAAGGCGCGCAGACTACTGCGCCCAGCGGGACGATCCGTGAGAAGGAACCCATCCCAACAGCGTAACGACCACCGACGAGACGATTCCCACACCTCGCATCTACCTCCTCCCACATCCGAAGGAAGCGCTGAGCTGCCCGTTGGGGACCAGTCCCCCCTTGCGCGCGTATGAGCTGGCAGGTGGTTCCGGGTATGGGGTCGAACGTAGGCAACGGCATGGGCGGGCCTGGAGGGAACGAGATGGGCGGCGCGATGCAGGGCAACGGCGGCAACCAGCCTCATGCGACCGAGTATACGCTGCAGGGTACGTTGCTCAACGCGACCATTGAGTCTATTCATCATCTGTACTGACTGCGATGCTCTTTAGGTGTTATGCGCTTCCTCCAAACCGAGTGGCACCGTCACGAGCGGGACAGGAATGCTTGGGAGATTGACCGCCAGGAGATGAAGGCTAGGATAGCTTCCCTCGAAGGCCAGGCAAGAAGGGCCGACGCAACGCAAAAGGCACTTAAGAAATACGTCGCCATTCTCGAGAAGAAGGTTAAAGACCAGGCTGCACAGCTCAAGGGCGGTGCCAAGGCAGGCGAAGATGCTGCAAATGCTGAAAAGGATCGCGCTGCCCTGGTCCAGGAGAAGCTCCGACGTGGGTTTTCAGTCCTCGCTCTATCAAATGACAAACGAAGCATGAGCTAACAGTGTTATGCAGCTTCATCCAAGAAGCCATTCGATGCCCATGGCGGCGAGCTCGACGTCGATAAAGCCGACGATGAGTCGCAACGGGCCGACCTCAAGTCTTTCCTGGATCAGTGCCAGGCCGAGTTTACCTATCTGATGATTACCCCGGCGAATCCTTTACCTCCACGAGATTCACCCCCTCTCCCCATACTCGAGGACTTGCGCGAAGGCGAGCCGTTTGGCGTACCTGGTGGCAAGCCATTCCAGGAGCCACCCTTCCCCTTTGCCTCATCGTCCCTTGTGCCACAAAACCATGTCCGCGAAGCCAACCGCCCACCTCCCGCCCCGAATCATGCACCCCCGATGCAGCGAAGTCAACCAACGAGTTTCCAAGTCAAACCTGTCGATCAGCAACAGCAACAGCAACAGCAACTACAGCAGCAGCAGCAGCAGCAGCATCAACAACCACAACAACAGCACCAGCAGCAAATGCCACCCCCCGCACAAGAACCTGCACCCCCTGTCATGTATGCCGCCGGCACTGAATGGCCTCAGCCAATGTCGGCAACTGGCCGTATGCTCGACGACAACATGCAACGCCCCAGCCATGCCGTCGAGTCCATCAGTAGCGTAGAGCCAACGGAAGAATCTCAACCTAGTCGCCCTGCCCCCGAGACCGACGGCTGGGATTTCTCCGACGGATCATTTGCCGATGCCAACTCGTCGCAATCTCTACAGCACATCACCAACAGGCCCGATACCGACGCATTCCCCACCGCAGACAATCTTCCAAAGTCGCCCAACCGTGGACCGAGCTCTCATCGCCGCAAAGGATCAATGTCGCGGAGACGCAGCGCAGACCACGAGCTATCATTGAACTCGGCTGCCCAGAAGGCCGAAACGGGCAATTTCAAACTTCGATTCGGACTGCGAGGCCATCTGGACACCGTACGCACCGTCATCTTCTCTGGTGGTGGCAGCCCTGGTGAACCTGAGATCTGCACAGCAGGCGATGATGGCATGATCAAGCGATTCCACATTCCTCGTGCCGATAACCATGGACAGACTAATGCTGCGTCAGATCTTGACGTGACAGCTAACTTCTCTCATCGTGGTCACGCTGGAGGCGTGCTCTGTTTGACGTCCTGGTCGCCTTCGCCGAACTTCTCCACCGGTGGTCGCGCCCAAGGCGACGGCTGGATCTTTTCCGGCGGTCAAGATGCTACCATCAGAGTATGGGAACGTGGTCGAGTTGACCCCAAGGCTACCCTCGAGGGCCACACCGACGCCGTCTGGGCGTTGTGCGTGCTGCCGACCACCTTGGGCGCAGTCTTTGGCCAGAACAGCCAATACGGAAGCCCCGATCGCATTCTGCTCGTGTCTGGCGGCGCTGATGGATCTGTCCGTCTGTGGTCCGTCAGCGCGCCGCCTCAGTTGACCTCACCTCAGCCGGGAACAAACAGAGCTGGTCCGACAGGCAGCAGAGGCCGCGTCCGCGGTAATTCGATGAGTTCTGGAAGTGCTTTCTCGAGCACCCCGCAGCCCAACATGGCATCGAGCTCCCCCTTCAACCACACGCTTGTCCACAACATCAAGAGGCCGGATGGCTCTGACGCCAGCCCGACATGTATCACTTCTCTCAGCCCTAGCGGCGACACGTTTGTCGTCTCTTACTCTGATGCAGCCATTCTCGTCTACGACACCCGGACAGGTGAACAGACTGGCACAATGGACAGCTCCGAGACATACGACGGTTCAATCAACACCAGTGTCAACGCTGTTGTTGCGACAACAGTTGGTTTGGAACAGCCTCAAGGCGGGCTGTCTGAGGAAGATGGAAGTGCTGGCGGTGGCCCAACCGGTGGTGGAGGCAGATCCATGGCAGGATCCGGGGTTGAAGGCGTCATTATTTCTGGACACGAGGACCGGTTCGTCCGCTTTTTCGATGCTAACAGCGGTAAGTTATGGAAGTCAGATGTGTGCGACGATGTGCTGATTGAACGCTCAGGCCAATGTACCTACAACATGCTGGCCCACCCGGCATCGATTTCGGGCCTATCACTTAGTCCAGACGGCCGCGAGCTTGTCAGCGCAGGCCATGATGCCTCGCTGCGGTTCTGGAGTCTCGAGAAGCGATCCTGCACGCAGGAGATTACGAGTCACCGCATCATGCGTGGTGAGGGCGTCTGCTCTGTTGTCTGGAGTCAAGACGGCAAGTGGGTTGTCAGCGGTGGTGGAGATGGCGTGGTGAAGGTATTTGCGCGGTAGACGGTGGAGTTTCTGGTTGAGTGAGGAAGGGACAGAAGAGAGAGAGAGAGAGAGAGAGAGAGAGAGAGAGAGAGAGAGAGGAAAGAAAATATACAACAACAGCAGCAGCAGCAGCATAGCGTCCGTTGAAATGGCGTCGTCTTTGGGTCATTACTTGCTACGGGATGGATGTCTGAAAAGATGGTCTGCTCTCCGAGCTGATTGTGTCCGGGCATGACAGAAGAAGATGATGAAGAAGGTGTTGTGGGACTTCTTTTTTCCAACTTGTTTTTTTGGGCATGAAGTATAAGACTCTCGGGGCTTTTGGCTGCAGCAGTGGGCTCGCGAGCCAGATTGGGAAAAGACAGAAAACGAGGGGATGAAATGGAATAGGATAAGGGGGCGTGAATCGGCGCGGCCGATCCGCGTCCTGTTGTAATATTGTACTGGGGCATCATTATTGTTCATCACACGTCGATACCCTTACACTTCACCAACCAGCCCCACCAAACCGACCGACGTTCCCCTTTGCTTTGCCTGTTGTTTGGTGGACTCTGGACCATGGTCTCTGTTTCTACGTACATAGCTTCTTCTTTACGGGTGAAGAGAATAGATGATTGTATGATTCTGGGTATTAAGATAAGCTGTCGTCATAAATAATCAAGGTTGCTGTCGCTGCTGTGAACGAACGAAGGTCTGCCGACCGCGAACAAAATCATGGAACATGAGGGCTAGAACTCCAACTCCTCGACCTCCATGCCACATCCATTGCACTTCTTCACCGTCATACCCTCCTCATTCTCGACCGCTCGTCCCCAATCGTGAACGTGCTTACCACCGCCCACCGAGTCTCCAAACTTTCTCGGTCCCGCGCCGGCGGCCGTGGTGGCCTGCTGTCTGCGGATGGCCTCAGTTCTCGTCTTTCGCTTGAGATCGTTGAGCTTCTCCCTGAACTTGGCCTCCTTGCGCCTCTTCTTGTCGGCCTCGCGCTTGGCGAACTCGGCGTCGAGCTTCTCGGCGGAGCCCCATTTCGTCGTGAAGGCGTACTCTTCCACCTGCATACGCAGGAACAGCATCATGTCGTGCCAGTGCGACTTGTGCGGGTTCGGTCGCGAGAGGTGGGGGAGGAGATCGGCGTCTTTGAGTTCCTCGTCGGTGAGGAGATAGTCCTCTTTACACTCCGTCTTTGTGAGGAGCGAGTATTTGTCGGGCAGCTTGTCCTTGCAGGCGTGGCAGACCTGAATCCCAAAAATCTCGTCCCAGACAAAGTCGATTTCGTACGAGGAGCAGTCGGCGCACTTCTTGCGCATGGTGGAGTCGGCGAGGACGCTGAGGCCCGGCTCAAAGGGTCCTGCTTTCTGCCGGCGGAGTTTCTTGAGGAGCTGGAGGCGCTCCCATTCCTGCGAGGACATGCCTTTTGGTTTCTCTTCCTGGGGCGGGCCGCCCGGTTTTACCTTGGGCACGAGGGCCGTGTTGTGCGGGTCGTCTTCAGCGGTGAGGAAGCCGCCCTTTGTGTCTGTCATGGCGGACATGTTGTAGTCGACGAATTTGGCAAAGTTGCGCGCCGGGCGCGGGGCGGCGTTCGTGTCGCGGGCATCGCGGTTCGTTGATGGGTGCGATTCCGCAGCAGCAGCAACAGGATTTGACGTTGAGATGGAAGAGTGTGGGCGTTTGCGGGAGATGTCTGTCGCTTGGGAGGCGCCGGCGTTGGTGATGTGGACGTCATTAGTGGCTACGAAGCCCGAGGCGGTTTTGGGAGTCGGGATTGCGCCTGAGGCGGCGAGTTCGGCGTCGCGGCGGTCGCGGATTGCCTTTGCTTTGAGGCGGGATTCTTCCTGCAGTAGAGATTCATTTGTTTAGTCCTGGGGAGGTCCGAGAGAAACTGAAGATTTGAGGATTCATTGACTCACCATGCGACGGATTGCTGCTGGTGTTGGAGGGGTCCTGGCGGGCAGCGGCGCCGTTGCCGGGTTTGGCGGTGGTGTCGATGGGCGCACCATTGTGAATGTCTGGTTGGAAACAATTGTGAGTATCTAAAGCGTCGTGGTGGCGTGGCAAGACGGTCGAGTCTGGAGGATGTAAGTGGGAGACGTGAATCTGCGTGCGCGTGGAGGGGCAACTTTTTGGGGAAAACGATTATGTCACTACGGGAATCGCGAACGCACGTGCCTTACTGCTGCTGCTGTGACCGAGCCACACCGAAGTGGCAGGAGGTGACGGAACTGGCGGAGCTGTCAGACACGAATTGGAGCTAATAAAAAGTACCTTTGGGAGGCTATAGAGCAAGGTGTCTTGGAGATAGTCATGATAGAGATGGCGAAAACGAACAGAGTGCGGATTAATGAGCTGCATCTTGACGAGACTAAGCATCCATTTCGAGAGAATCGCATCATCTTGGGAAATCTACTTCCCAGCCGTGCCTGCGTATCCCTTTATTGCCTCCAGGTAGGTGTATAGTAAGATACATGACCACCTTTGCGCGCAACCAAAAAAAAGTCTTCTGTATGACCAATGGTGACCCCCTATTTTGATTTTGTATTTTGTTCACAGTCCGACTGTCCGTTTTCCCCCAAGCACCAACTACGACGGGCGACGGGAGTGAGCAGACATTTACTCCTCCTTGGCACCACCGCGGCCGGCACGCTCGGCAGTCTCGATGGCCTTCTTGTCGCTAGCAGCGGGGCCGCTCTGGAGACCCTGCATGAAGCCGGCGGGCGCCTTGAAGGGACGCTTGAGGTCGCCAGCGGCGGGCTGGCCAAAGACGTGGATCTTGACGAGGTTGCTCTCGAGGGCGCTCTTGAGGGGGATGATGGACTGGATCAGGAGAGGGTTGGTGTACTTCATGTAGATGTGCATGAAGGCCATCATGGCGATACCCATGGCCTGAGAGCGGAAGGCCTGGCGAAGCTGGGTGGTGTCGTAGGCGTGAATGGTGGTGGTGACGAGCTTGCCCTCCTCGGCGGATCCCATCGCTGGGGGCTCGACGTATTTGAGCGTGGTAAGGTCTACTGTCTGTCAGCAATGCTTCGATGACCCTGTACAATGCACCAAGTGAACGCACCCTTCTTCTTGTTAATCTGGGCTTGGACGTAGAGGTAGATGATGGCGATGATGATGTTGCTGGCAATGTAGCCGGCGCGGCACATGTTCAGGACGTTGGGGTCTTCGAAGGGGACCTTGCGGGAGACCTGCACCATGCCGAGCATGATGATCAGGTTGGTGCTGCGGCATTGTCAGCAAAGGTATTCGACGTCGTTGTTGGAGGCGCACAAGGAAACATTGAAATCAGAGATTTGCAATGCGATTCCGTGCGATGGATGGAAACGGAGAGGGGGCAACGTACATCTGAGGGCTGACCATTTTGGCGGTTTGCGACGGAACTAATGGGAGTTTGATTGAGAAGAATTGGAAAGAAGGACGAGGGCAGCGAAGAACCTCGAGGTCGCGAGAGAGAGAGAGAGGGCTGGTTGGTTTAAGGTATTAATAGGAGAGCAGAGAAGGAGGCTGGCAGGATGCAGAGGCGAAGACGGCGCGGCGTGGAGTTGGCGAGTTTTTGTACGGTTTAGCGCGTGAGGGCGAGGGCGTCTTTGGGGGCGATGGGGGAAGACACTCGGAGAGGGTGAGGTGGTCGAAACGGCGCCCGTCCAGTGGGTTGGTTGTGTGTGTGGCCTGGCTGGGGGGGTGGAGTTGGAGGAGGTGGAGGTACCCTGGATGAGGTACCTTTTTAGTGTGCAGCACTGCAATTAAGGTGGTGATTTCCTGGGTAGGTACCTCCTGGCCTACCATAAAGGCGTGCTAAGTTCGGGGTCCAGCGGGCTGCGGGATGGCGAATTGCAAAATAGCACAATTTTTAGTCCAAAGCTCTGTCAGTTTCTGTAGCATTCCGCTGCACTCTTGTTTGGTCCTTTTCGGGGTCATGCAAGGGTGTCTGCGCATGCTGTGTATTGCCTCTATCTGTACCTGGCGAGCCTCACCTCTATGATTTATCACATTGTTCAAGGTCTCTCTCTGACAATATTGTATCAAACGAACCAGTCTGTCTGTTTGGCTGCCTCTCTATCGTCTCTCTATCGTCTCTCTACAGCACGTATGCCAGACGGCACATTGCAACTTTTGAGTTGCACCTAAGGAAGGGTGCTAAGACTAACAACATGCCACGCATTCAGTGGCTGGGAACTTGGAGAAAACGCCACCGGGCCTTGGATTATGACAAGTCCGATTCCCCACGTTTGCACTTGGAACTGTCAAATGTGTGAGATGTGAGGTGGTTGTAAGGTGCAGGCTCTTCTGACTTGTGAATTTGAAATGGGCGACTCTTGTTGGAGGCTCGGACTACGAGACCAGCGATGCCAATACCAACAAAAATAAGGTGAGAGGACACGTTCGTAAATTGCAACGTGGGGAATCCTGTCAGTTATATCCACCACCTGCCTGATTGAGACAGCTCACTTTTTGCCTCATCTTACAGCTGAGATTTGGTCATGCGTCGCTGATAATCAACCTACACTACCTTAGCATCAGCTATCATTCACCTATCGCCTTGTGACTAACAAGTACCTAATTGGTGATTGCCTCAATTACCAGCTGTCATTGTCGTAAACAGAAATCCGTCACGAATCCACAACTACACCTGTGTCACCACAATTGCGACAGCAAAGACGAATGAAACTGGGCTTTTCATATTCCAGATATGTACACCAGGGGCCAGGATACCCACGATCAATATCTACATTGAGAATTTCATCAGACTTCAGCACCCATGTCCACGGACAGGTAACTGCGTCTTTCGGCAACAACGCCGCCGGCAAAATCACGTGGCGCCGGCCGCATGCTCCACTTCCGTCGATATGCACCCCGTAAAAGATACGTATTCACCCCGGTGTCCGGAATAGCTTCAAATGAAGCTCTTGAGGATCGGGAGGTAAGTCCCGTACGCCTTTCCAGTCGTGGGCTCCATGGAGTACATGTAGTCCGCCCACCAAGGTCCAGCAGCCCACCAGAGCACCTAAATTTCCGATTGTTAGTGGCCATCAGCACAGGAGAAACGTTTGAGAACATAAAACACTTACACCTCTCCACTGCTCAGAGTTGTCCGCAAGGTGCTGGAGGGCACCCTTGACGGCAGTCTCGCATTGGGTGTTGACACCAGCGCCAATCTCGCCGAGAACGCCCTGCTTGTTGTTGTCCTTAAGCCACTTGGTGGCGACGGCGAGGCGCTCGGCGCCAATGGTGCTGCTGACGCAGGCCTCGTTGGTGCCGGAGCCGTCCGTGTCGAGGTACTGGTGCATCTCGTAAAAGAGGAGCTTGCCGGTCGAGTCGGACGGGTCCGTGAGGTTCTTGAGGGCGTCGCCGGAGCCGCTCTCGATCCAGTGCCACGCGCCAGAGTACGAGTTGCCCTCGATGAAGATGTTCTGCTTCGTGGCGCCCGCCGCGCGGATGTTGGTGATGGCGGCCTGGTTCAGGTCGTGGACGAGCGTGTTGTCCATGTCGTGGTACTCGTTGTTGGTGTCAAAGATGACCTTGTCGTTGTCCTTGAAACGGGCGGCGACCGTCTTCCACCACGCACCAAAGTCGGCGGAGCTGGTGATGATGTTGCCGTAGTAGCGGCCGTAGTTGTGGGGGTCGATGACGGCGTAGGAGCCCTTGGAGGTGACGTCCTTGACGAGCTGCAGCCAAAGTATCAGTATACCTTGCGTATCTCCATCATCCACAGGCTGCGCAAAAGACTTACATCCTCAAGACCAGAGAAGTAGGTCTCGTTGATCGTGCCAGTCAACTTGTCGGGAATGATACGCTCCATCATCGTTCCGATGCGGAAAGTGTTGAGGCCCTGGGCTCTAAGGGTCTGAAACCACCAAGTCAGCTTACCTTATGGCATCATCGTGTTTGTGTTGCTCACATCAATGGCAGTCTTGTTGGGCCATGTGTACTCCTTGCCCAGCTGTCCGGGAAGGGTACCCTGACCGAACTCGCCACCGCTCTCGTTGACACCAGTGAAGAGGAACTTGCCGGCGCGCTTCTCCTTTGCGCCGTCAATGGGGGCCGCCAGGACCGATGCGACGGACGCAGCTCCGAGAGCAATGTTGGAAAACTTCATGATTCTGGATCGAAGAAAGGAATGAAAAGGGTTAGACTAGAAAAGAAGGTAAAAAGGTCGGATGCAGTCCAAGCAAAAGCCAAGACCAACCCCAGAGTGGCTCCGAGGCATGGCAGACTTTATATCCTCGTGGCCGGGACCCTCCCTCTCTTTCTCAGTGTCTCTCCTCTCCTTCATTCCCTCTTTCGTCTCCTCTCTCATCCTTCTCTCGTTTACAGTTCAGTTAAGGGGGGTGGGACGGGATGGGATGGCAAAGATGGTACCGATACATGGACAATAGTGGACTGTCGACAGGAAGAGTTGCCTGTTGCGAACCTTTGGGGGAGAATCACCAGGCCACCCCCCTACAATATCATGACGGAGTCCCTTGCTCCGTCCCATGTATAATGGCAAAACAACACACGATTTGTGGGAAAAGAGGGAACGCAATCAACGAGGGGGGGCCGGTCACTTTGCTTCTCAAAGTCTAGTCTGGACACTCTGGAGCCCGTGGAAGCGGCGAGCCTCACCAAACTAAGCGTGCTTGGCATGGATGATGTGCCGTGTGGGGTAGTCCCTGGTAGGGAAGAGCACGATCTCGGGACCTGGACCTCCTAGTGCTGGTTCTGCTGGACCTCCTGGGACCTTGCAGGCGCCAAACTGTGGTTCATGGTTCACGTTTGATGCCGAGAGTGCCGAGCAATGCGGCTACTTCGTACAGTCGTACCGTTGGGGGACTTTCGTTTGCCGCCTGGATTAGATTACGCGCAGGTCTAGTCTGAAGTTGTTTGGGCTACACGGCATCATCATCGAAGGGGGATCGGGGATAATCTGGCAGGCAGTCGAGTCGAGTGGCGGAGGGTGACATGCTCCGGTATTTGCGCAAATTTCCCGCGGGTGACAAGTGCCGGCATGAGAGACAAGAAAAGCAAAGTGCGACGCAACAGTAGACAGAAAGAGACTGACAAGTCGGACTCGTGGCTCGCTAACAGGCTTTGAAGTGTCGTTGGTCCCAAGGGGGGGAATAAAGTTGGCTGTTTCAAGTCGCCGGGGGAATTCCCTCCGCGTGGTCACTGGTATAGCACCTGGAATTAAGGGATCGCCAAACCCCACAATGATCATCAAGATGGGACTTGAGAGCTGCGAGGGGGGCCAAATTGAGCCGCGAACTCGGGACGGCGGCGCGAGAAGGTTACAAATAGAGATTGTGGCTGTTCAAGGAGACGGCTGGCAGAGAAAGGGGACGTAGGTACGGAGTAGGCTTATAGAGTCCAATGACGTGATATAAGAGACATGAGATCAGGAGAACAAGCCGTTCAAGCTAGAATCACAAGACTTGTGGCCGGCGGACCTCTTTCGGTAGACTTTGGGAGTTGTTGGCCAGCAGGGAGATCCTTGGACGCGGCACCATCGAAAAACTTTGGACTGAGTCGTTTCAAGAGTTCGCGGTTGAGGAAACAAGTTGATCGATAGCTTTGCACACTCTGCTTTACCGTCGCCGTTACCAACTGAAACAGTGTGGGACGGCCGTCCGCGCGTGCACTGAGAAGCAGAACAAAAAAGGACAAAGGCCATAATCTGAAAAGCCTCTCTCCATCTTCGCTATCTCCACGTGAAACTTGAAATCATTTAGGGACTTTAGGTAGAGGGAAGAACTAATACTATTGAATTTAGTAACTCTGGCTCAAGTTACCTACCTTACCTACGCCCATCAATGACATTGGTGGAGAAGTCGTCGCTAAGTGCAGGGAACCGTGATTAGCTAAGCTCAATACTGTAGAGTCGGGTCCGAAGCACGGAGCACCGGCCGCTCACGTGACTCCGCCAAATCCTGGAAGCTCGGAAATTCTTCCCGCGTGGCATCGCGGCAGCCCAGAAGTGACTTGGAGGTGGAAGTAGCTAGCTATCAATCCCATATCGCAAAAGGAGTCGCCACAATGCAGCCAACACGACACCTTCTGAAGCGATCCGTGTGGAAAGGCAAGTCTCAAATATGCCATGTCAGATCGAACCTGGTGAACTGACAATTCGTTTGTAGGACCTCACATTGTCCCGTAAGGGCTCCCTCCCCTCCGCGAAAACCCCTCAATCGAACCGCCCTCGAATCTGACCTTGACGCAAATAGTCTCCCCATCGTGCGCCCCGCTCCCGGACAGAAGGTTGTGCCCATCCGGACGCAGGCCCGTTCCGCCACGATCCTGCCCAACTTTGTCGGCCTCAAGTTCCAGGTTTACAACGGCAAGGCGTACATTGACGTGACGATTACGGAAGACATGGTCGGTCACAAGCTGGGAGAATTCTCGCCGTACGTTGAATCCATATAGGAGATAATGAGGTTCTTGAGAGCTAACATTTGGCAGCACGAGAAAGCCCTTCATCTGGTCTAGAATGTAAGAGGCGGCGACGGTCTTGGGATTTCAAAAGTTCATCAGCATGGGGACGGCGTCTGTCAGGAAGTGGAGGAAACGTTTGTACAACACTGTCAAGATACCAGCGATATATACTGTAACATAAGAATATGGGGCCTTGTGCCGTTGACGATCCTCTGCTAGCCGAATGGATGTCCATATCGTAAACTTTCGAGCACCTCTAAAGTAGTGCTCGTCCAAAGCCGAACCTCCTGGTCATGTGAAACCCCGTTGACGCCATACCCAAGTCCGCCCAACGCCGTGGTATATGCACACCAGCCCAAAGAAATATTGGCAGCTCCCAGCTGCCCTGTCCAACCCCCCCTATCTATAAAACTCGCTTCTCTTGACGTTGACTCCGTACTCGCCGACAGCCATGCCGAGATCCTCCATTGTAAGAACGGTCCTGTTCTGGCTGCCGCCCTGTCCACCACCGCCGTAGCCAGGTCTCTGGATACCAAGAGGTCCTCCACGACTTTGGTCCTTTGCGCCGGCTGGACCTGTGGGTTGGCCCGGGATGGGGAATCCCGCCGCAGCACCGAGATTGCCCATGGGGTTATTGGCGTTGGAGTTTGAGGCGCGAATGCGGCTGTACTGATATGCGTCGGCAGATATATCGGCTATGAACTTTTGCGTTGCGAGGGCGAGCAGGCGCGCCAGGCGCGGGTCGGTCTGCGGTGGTGGGGGGAGGCCAGCTTTGGTCATGTAGTAGTTTGTGACTGCATCCGGGATCTAAGCAGGTGAAAGCCGTCAGTCAGTATTCGTTCCCCTGTAAATTGTTGTCGAGACTTACAATGGGAGCATAGTCGTCCATCTTGGTCAAGAACTCGCGAAGAGACATGTCTTTGCGGGTGATGGCCTTGGGCTCTGGGCCGGGCGCGACTGCCTCGGGGACAGCCGCGGCATCAGCTGGGGCGGCGGCGGCATCGGTCGTCGTCTCTTGCGTGTTGGGCGCGGTGGGCGCCTGCTCGGCAGTCTCTGGTGCAGTCGTCGACATTGTGATCGCGGCGCGTCAAGAGCAGAGATATTGTTGATAATGCCGGATAGAAGGAAATCGAGTCAAAGGCGCGGTACCACGAGGCTGATGAGGCTGGTGATGTAAGGTGAAGTCGCCTTGCGCAAGACGCGGGAGTGGCGTCAGTGTCACGTGTCGCACAGCTGAGCCACTTTTGCGACCGTAGGTAGGTACGTACCGTACCTTCTTCGGTCTACCTTCTCACCTTCGCGGTTCCCCACATCCAAGGTCAGCACCTCTGGAGTCTGCATCCACATAAATAAGGTGGTAAGGTACCTTATCACTCCGTATGGCCTGTGCATGTAAATTCCAGCATCTGATTTAAGCTTCAGCAGGGGTGCCACACACGATCATGGTGATGCTACAGGCAGAGTGGCAGTTACGGAGCCATCCATATTAGGAGCAAATGACTAGCTTTCTATGTAAGTATCCATCTACGCAATACCTACTGGCTCTGCCAAGATGGGAAAATGCGTACGAAAAAGAGTGGTTTACTGGGCTTTCAATTTTACAGCCCGGCCGGTAAAGACCTGACATGTCTCACCGACACTTCGCCAGCATCTGTCTTTCTCCCAGTCCCCTGATCGCTCTTCATGTATTGGCAACTCCCCTTTCTTGATCAAAGCACCAAAGCTTACGGCCACCTGATGTCAAAGACTTTGTAGCATGGCAATCACTGTGGTCGTATCGCTAAGTTGAGCTACGAGCTGGACCAAGTCCGCACTAGCGCTTCACGTACCGAGGAACATAGCTCGAAATCTCAAGTCCGCACTAGCGCTTCACGTACCGAGGAACATAGCTCGAAATCTGCGTAGGCTCTGCCCAGCTATACGTGTAGTCGTATCTGTACGGGCAATTGTGTAGTGAAGCATCTGAGGAATCCTCATGCAAGGGGACGCTACCAAGATTGATAGTCGTGGATAGACCATGCTCCTGGAGGCCGTAGTATGGGGTCGCCCTGACTCGTTAACCCAGCCAACCTGTAATCTCATATAAGAAGCTTTGCTTGATATACGAACCGTATTTTGGGCTCACCTATGTGCATGAAAAGGCTGGAACCGGGCGCAGTGATTCGGGCGTTTTCGTTGTCTTTGATACCGAATTTCGGCCACCGGGAGGTATTTGTCGGCCGTCTTTTCTGCGAGCTTGATCATTAATCGAAATCTTGGCACATGGGCTTCTCCATCGGTGACGGGGTGATATTTCTATCTTCAGGTACGTCAAGGAATATGGGTCGCCTCCTCAAGGGTATATATAAATGTTATAAAAGCTCGGTATATCTTCACACTTAAGGTCGATCGCATAGTTCATCTCAACCCAACAAACCAATTGAATATTCAAAAACCATCAAAATGCAATTCCCTTCATCTACCATCGTTCTCGCTCTCTTTGGCCTTCTTGCCTCTCAAGCAGTAGCTCAGCAGGTTGTAAGTGAACATGCAATGCCCAACTGAGACTTGACTGAAGAGGAACCCGCTAATATCCAATGCTCGATAGGAGTGCAACTGTACATGAATACTTTAATTTTCCCCTTGATGGACTCTAACTGATGTCATACAGCTTGCATAGCGGCGTGCGAAAGAAGGCCTGGCGTATGCTGGGGTGGAGACAACGTTGGCTACTGCAAGAACCTCTGTGGTCCAAACTGCCCCTGCACATTCTAGAGGATGAATAATTGGGGTTATCGCTGGGTGCAGAAGTCACTGAAGCCTGACTAGATCCTCAAAGAATCAACAATCTAGTATACGATCACTGTTCGATGAAGGCAGTACTAGGCCCTTATTCTTGCTTGCACCGTGCTGGTATTCGAGGTTGACCACGACCAGGCCTGTGATCTGTTACGTACAGCACCGCACCAGTGACATAATTGTCTGCTCCTCAGACACACTGTCTTTTTGACTTCAGTAGCTAAACAGAAGCGGGGTATGATTGCCTGTGCGGAGTAATCTTTGGTTCTTCTTCATCAGCATCCATCTCAGAATCCAGGCCATGACAGCGGCTGCCACGGAAAATGCAGCGCTGGACAGCATAGCCGTGGTATACCTAGGTGCGTCTAATTCTTGCCAGAGATACTGAAAATAGTCAGGGGAGGTTGCCGGGAATCCTGCGAGAGTGAATAGAGGGGCGGTGACTTACTGGGGTGTAAATAGAACCGATGGTGGCGATGGTGTTAACCAAGGCAAGGGAAACTGCCTTTTTCTCCATCGTTTGGCCACAGGTACTTGAGACCCAGCCGAGAATGATAGAGTTACATGCATAGACACCGCTTGCAAAGGCGCACATAGCAAAGTACCTCGCACCGACATTTAAAGCACTACAGGCTAGCACGAAGCCAAAAACCGCGACAGCTTTGGCAATGGTAATGTGCCAGACTCTTTCGTTGAAGTGACCTGACAACATTCGTCAGTAGTATACACGTACGATTGCTCAATGACCTCACCTGAGCTCGCAGCCCATGCTATGGTTGCAATACCGGAGATGATGTAGGGAGGGCATGTTAAGGCCAGCGTAACGTTTCGGCCGAAACCCAGCGTTTCGACTATAGTTGGGAAGAAGTTCTTGTAGCCCGATGCGCTGAGATGCAAATGCTGCATAGTCACCAGAACCCAAAGACGTGGATCCCGAATGGCTTCAGAAAGACCGACCCAAGTGCTGGTATTCGCTTGAAGTTGGACTGTATCAGCTGCAACTCGGGACTGCGCCAGCTTTCTCTCCTCTTCACTGAGCCAGCGAGTGTCGAGAGGCTGGTCAGGCAACAGAAAGGCCGATGAAACCGAAACGATAAAGCTGATGATACCTTGAAGTATGAATAACCATCGCCATCCGCTTAGGCCAGCCACCTGGTCCATTTGGAAGACTCCTATGGCTATGAGACCAGCAAAAGCAGTGCCACATATATTAGCCGTGAAGAGTATGGAGATTCGTGTTGCAATCTCCTTTCTGGCGTAGAAGATTCCTAGCAGATACAGAGCGCCGGGGTAGAACGGCGCTTCCGTGATGCCAAGGAAGAATCGAGTCAAAAGTAGGCCCTTAAAGTCTTTCGTCACACCTGTCGCGGTGCTGACTATTGACCAAAGGGCCATAGTCGAAGCCATGAACCGTGAGGGCCTGACTCGGGTTATCAACATGTCTGTTGATCTTTATCAGATTCCACCTGAAAGAAAAGGGGGCATTAGACCGTACTACTCGGAATTTGTCCTAGGATATATTCAACAAAGAGTATGGATACACAGGTCTGGTATTCAGTCGAGGTCAAACTAAGCTCCTCTTCGATGCCATCTAAACGAGCTACGGTAATGGCGTTTCGATCGAGGTAACTATCGTAAAGATGATCAGGACGAGTTTCTGATCGAGCATATGCTTACTAGTATGCTTACTTGAACCAGTACTGATAAAAGAGTGCAACGGTCAGCGTTAATTGTAGGATATTTACACTAGACCATGAGTACAGTGTACCAACCATAATCCAAAGGACTGGCAAGATGATCCAGTCCAACTTCCGTACCAATCTTTTCTCAGCCGGGATTAGGCTTCCGTAGATTCCCGCGGGATCAGTCTCTGGTGTGTCGGTATGGAATTTCGGTACCGCTCTCAACTCCAGATGCTGACATAGGGCAACTTCATCTACTTTGGGTGCAGATGTAGACGCGAGCGCCTCAAGATGAGACTGCTGGGAAGTGGCCATGTCGAATATTCCCTGATGAAAAGGTATACGCATCCGGATAGGGGATCATAGCTCCAAGACTCTCAATTAAATCACTGTCGGGACTGCCAAAAAAATCCCTAGTTCCCCTTCTTATATAGAACACGTATCAAAGAGGTAGCTACACCCCAGAGTATCGAACGGATGGCCCAGGTTTCCCCGCATTATCCTGTGTGCACTCGCTAGCTAGTGTACTTGTATGTCTTCGTGACATGATTGGAAAGATATACGGAACGCTTAGCCGGAAACGCGTGGTTTGGCCACGCCAATGATGGGCTGTTTGAGGTGACAAAAGGCTCTACGATGGCTGGACGCAGCACAGCGGACTAAGACGGGTGCCGACAAGGCGACGGAGTATCTTGGACACTCCTCGCAAGATTTAACGGACATCGACGGACTAACGCGGCTTGACACGGAAAGGCACGGATGCCTTGTAAGAGCTGACACTAAAGCATGCGGAGATAACTGTGACATATTCTCAGACGGATGGGTCACGTAGAAGCTGTTTGGCCGTGTATCTCTAAGTGATATCTGGTAGGTTCCATAGAAAGTTGAGTGAGTCGATGTCGAACCCCTGGTAGAGCTGATCTGTATTGTCGCTGAAAGGAGCAATGCTGGAGTCAAATTGCAGAGCCCGCCAGATCCCGTTCTGATCCGCAGACACGCCATCATTGGTACTTTGATCAGGCGGAAGACTTAGCAGCGTGAGTCCAAATCCACTCAGGCTGTCTTGGGTATCGTTGAGCGCTCTCTGGGGTGCAGATACAGGGAAGAGATTTGACTTCAGGAATTGGGTATGTTGCTCAATGAGATGGGCGTATCTCAGTGCAAAATCCATGTCGTCGGGCGGATACCTTCCCAACGCAGTCACACATCGATCTAACGTCTGTAGAGCTGAAGAAGCATCTGTCGCGGGTGATCCGAGACTGAGGGCCTTTAACAAGAAGACGGATGCAGATATCACGCTGATCCTGACACTTGCTGGCGCGCATGCAAGATGTGACTGGAAAGATGTCTGAGTGGCAATGCGCAGCACTTCGCTGCTATCCGACACAACCTCTTGCAGGAATCTAGCATCCTGGGCAGTCATGTAGCCGGCGAGACTGTCCTTTTCAATTCCATATGCTCTGGCCGTCGCAGCTCTTCGTACGACTGCTTGTATTGATATGGCACCTATGCAAGCTCTAATGTGGTAGTACTCGATAGACAGTGATATGTTTAACAGCCCAGCTATGGTTATGCATCCATATTAGCCATCTGAAGTGTTAGAGGCATGATGCAACAAACCTTTGCAGTCTGCATCAAATGAATCCTTCCAGTTGGAAAGAGAGCTCAGGAAATGATCCAACAGATCTGGGTAGCCATCGCTCTGAAGTAAGCCTTCTAAATGTTCCACAGATTGGAAGAACATTGACGAAGCTACTTTTGAGAGACGGGTGAACTCGAGATAGATATCCATGTATGAGGCCCATGAGGCCTGTGAAGAATGGCCCATGTCTTTCATCGAAGATCGCGAGGCTGCGATGGACACACTTTCGGGGAAGACGGAGCTATACCCAAGTCTCGTTGCGGTTTGAGTCATGTAGGCATAAAGGAGCTTTCGAGCTCGAAACTTGCGACAATCTGCAACCTTTGACGCCGTAGAGTCTGCGCGTTGGTCGCTTGAAAATATTCCAAGCTCGTAGGCAAGATTCGTAGCAAGGCCAAGGAGCATCCACGACATCCTGCTCGCTCTTTTCGCAGGCTCAAAAACATCTTTGCGCCAACGAAGGAGGGGTTCCTCATCATTAGTTCGTCTCCGGTTCTCCCGGTCGTAATCCAGATCGACCAGCAAAGCATCCCAGCCCTCTGTGTCCGGAGGAAAATGAATGGCTCGAGGGTGCCAGTCCGAGATGAGCAGCAGACTCTCAATTGTGCCGATTATTCTCATCTTGGCGGTGGAAATCTTTTCTTGACCCAGAATAATGCGTTTGATCATTAGCTCACAGAATTGCCAAAGTCGATTGTGTATCAATTGACTCCTGGAGATGCCGCCTGCTCCCGGCAATAGGAAGAATCGAGATGAAATCATCAGGATGGTGCAACATAACATGGATTCTTCATGAACGAGGCTTGAGTGGGCATTATGGTTCCGAAATTGGTCGACGATGATAGGAGATAGTGGAGAGAGATATTTGAAGAAACTGGTCGATGTGAGTGAGAACTGGCTACACTGGGCCCAAAGAGTTGAATCTTACAGATCGATGTACGTGACGGCTTCTTGGGAGGTGAACCAGCCCTGTCTGACGAATCTGCACTTGTCCCACATATCGAGGGTATCGTCGCCTGGTTCAGATAGAGCTTGAATGACGAAACCCACCCCAATTTGACCTCCTGTTCGTTCTCTGGCGGGTACAGCAACGGGAACATCCTGCACGGTGTGTGCTGGCGGTGCTGAAGGGGAACCAGAGGATGGAGATACTACAGCATGGTGAAGTAGATTTGCGGCATCGGACAGCACATCAAGAGCGTCATTAGAGCCGGTCACAAGACTGGAGACAACCCGTTCTGAAAGTGAACTATCACGAAGAGAGCTTTGACGCCACTCGCTTCTAAGGTTTTGGGTGACTGCTCTAGATAGAGGGGCCGCTGATGGCATGTTTTCTTGTACTGGTGTATCAATTTCTTGTGGTGACTTGGCCAGACTGACGCCGGCAGGCTGCGGCGTGATAGCATGCTCAGCCGGCCGGTTACTTTTCCAATTTGGCGGATCCCTGTGCTTCGAGGTTCTCGGACGTCGATCGAATCGACAATCGCGATGCTCACGTTTGCATTTGGCGCAAGGGGGCTCACCTCCCATAATGCATCTCACTTTGCGAGACCTACAGGTGTCGCAAGCAACGTATGTCCGCTTGAACCGTGGTGATCCGACTTGGGACGGCTCTGTAATGGCCTTATTTGGGGGCTCATCGCTCATGGTGAATCAAGTTGAGCAACAAGCATTTAGTTAGGAAGAGAGACTCGAGTGCGTGCTGGACAAGTCAGCCCCAAACATCCCAATCATTCATGAAGTCTTGCTTGTCATCTTCTCTTACCCCTACTCAATGAGCCTATTGGCAGATTCAGGATACGTTGAAGAACGGATGCCCGCTCTTAATGCTGGTGGTCTGGAGGTTTAGTGAAGCGAGGGTAAATGACTGCCGTGGAACCCCGCTCCGATCCGCTAGATAGCGCCAATGCCCGCGACAGTCCGTGATTATCCGCTTCGGTCCGTTCTCGCTGTCTGCGCTGACATCATCCGAACTTTGCTCCTCTCGCTATTCGGAAGCACGGTTCTATCAGACTGTGCGATTCGGGCACAAGTCGAGTGTCACACGGCGAGCTTCTCATCGTTTGAGATTTCGAAAATTAGTTTGACTGTGAATACTACAAGTCTTTCACTCCGATTGCCGGAGCTCTTAGAGGTGCTGCATAGGTGGTGGAGAGGCGTGGAAGTCTGTGTATATAAGCCAGGAAAATCGCTTGACGAAGGGGATCATGCAAGCTTGACAACAATATCAATATCGATAGCCTGCTAGCCATCAAAAAGTCTCACATCCAACGATTTCCCACAGTCAAAATGTCCAAGTCCATCGTCAACACCACTCCTTACCCGTTTCACTTCGACGCAAGCAATGGTCCGACCATCGATAGAAGCGACAAGAAAGCGATACTGGAACTGGATAATTGTCGTGGAAAGATCCCGTCCCTCCAGGCAACCAAGATTCGAGCCATGATGCAAGAGGCGCACGAAGACCCTTCCAAGATCCTTGCTCACGTCTGCAGCTACGATGCCTTGAGTTCAAGACTTTGTGAAGAGGCTGGCTTCCCTCTGGTCTTCCTGGCCGGGTATGCCATGGCTTCTGCGTTTGGCCTCCCAGATACTGGATACATAGCTTTCCAGGAAGTTGCTGCAAAGGTTCAGGAAGTTGTCAGAGAGGTCAAAGTTCCTGTTCTTGTGGATGGCGATACTGGATACGGCGGCCCGATGAATGTGAAGAGGACCGTTGAGGGGTAAGCTTGAGTTTCGCCCACCTAAAACCCAATGTGGTGATCATGCTGACCTTATCCACGCAGAATTGCGGCCGCAGGAGCTGCTGGCATCATGATAGAGGACCAGTCTTGGCCAAAAAGTATGACCCAACATGACCCGTGATGAAGAAACTGAATATGTCTAAAAGGTCTTCAGGATGCGGCCACACTGCTGGCAAGAGCGTGGTCTCCAGAAGCGAGGCCTACGCCCGATGGCAGGCCGCAGTTGATGCCAGAGACGAAGGTGTGGACATGTGGATCATGGCCCGGACTGACAGTCTCATCCACGGATACGACGAAGCTCTCACCAGAGCTCGGAAGGCGATTGAGATTGGAGTGGATGCCGTCTTTGTTGAGGCGCTCCCCGATCGCGAGACCATGGAACGGCTGAGAAACGATCTCGACTTCCCTGTCTTTGCCAACATCATCGAGGGTGGTAAAACGGAGAACTTGTCTGCGCAGGACCTGGGCAAGCTCGGGTACTGCGGAGTTGCATACCCGTGGACTTTGGTTGCCGCAAAATTGAAGAGTATTCGCGAGGCTTTAGAGGCGCTGAAAGGTTCCTTCCTTGTGGGAAAGCCCCCGACGATTCTGTCCTATGCTGAGGTTTGCGAGGGGGTCGGCTTCAACAAGTACTTCAAGCTTGAGGAGCGCTACCAATATGAGGGGCGCACGAATGGAGCAAATGGCCACCAGTGGAAGGAATGAAAGATGTTCTCGGCTTCCTGGATCCACGGTCGATATCTGGTATGGAAGAGTTAGCGAACCCCCTTAGACCCTGCCTTAACATCGTTTGCCTTCGAAAATGACCTACCTAGAGCAAAACCCATATGTTTCGTTCTTCTCAGCAATGTGCATGGTGCACTACTAATTTGCGCGCAAACTTGGCAATTGACATTAGACACTGGCCTACTATCGACACAGGTGCGAGTGACCGATAGTTCTCTCAATCGAGAAATCGCAGTAGTCTTGAGCCGTTTACAAGCCAGATTGTGGCTTCCCGACAACTCCCGGCAACCGTTGGCATTGAAGTTTAGGTATTTTATACATACTTCCAATGCAGGCTCATCTGACTTATGTGTGAGTTGAGTTGTTCACCAGTCAATACTGGAAATGATACAGATATTCACAGGTTTCATCCAAGAAGATACATGTAAAACCTGGGCGAGACCTCAACAAGAATGGTTCGAGCAGTGTGACAGGTGAGATAAGCACTTACCAGTCTGCCTGGAGACCCATCATTGTGTTTGCAACTTCAATCGGTCGTGGGATACGGCCGTCGCGGCTCAGCCGGCCCAAGCAGTCGAGAGCGAATCGTCGGGCGTCTGGGGGTGTGATGGATATCTCAGCAATGACCGATAATGGCCAGATCAAGCATCTCGCCGTCACAGAAAATCGGTCTTCCGTTGTCTCTAGATATTCGCCACAACTGGCGAGTACCTCCACCACCAGAGTCGACATTTTCCGCGTCGCGGCCTCCTGCATGGCAAAGTAGCCCAAACTGGCTGATGTCGGCCCCTGGGCGAGGATCAAGGATGCCTGCATCCAAATAAGGTCGTTGAGAAACATGCGAATGACCCTTAATGAGTTCCAGTACCGCAACGCTCGAAGGGAAGGATAGCGGAAAGATATTCCCTTGTATGTCATTGGTGCCTTCTCATACGGGTCCCTTGCCGTGAACCTCCATTCTGCCGAAACTTCTTGCCCAAGCTTCGCTGTCGCAGCGTCCAAATCCAGAGCTTCAACAAGAACCTCATGTCTCTCTGAGTCCTGCAAATAGGCTATTCTTGACCGTAGCATGGCGACCCTGTCGAGAACAGGGGTGACTCTGAGGAAGGGATCGCTCTGATCAAGATACGGCTGCGCATCATCGTACAGCGTTATGAATCGGGTCGGGACAGGTGTTTTACTGTGCGCGCAACTCGTGCGAATGTTATTTGCAGAGTGAACGAAAAGCTTGCGGCCGAGGGCGGTCTCGAATTGCTGACTTCCACGCATGCGCAACAACTCTACGGATCCAAGCGTGTGTTGATTCCAGCTATCCATAGACTGCTGCCCGGAAAAGACGATGGCCTCGAATAATCCCAGGAGCAATACGGCAGCTAGAGTGCTATCCTCGACGGCAAGTTTCGGAGAGCTAAGTGCTTGATTCGTTTGACATAGTGCGCTGGCGTATTGGACTCTAGCCTGCTTCATGAGTTTTGGATCCGATATCTTTAGCGACAGGCTTGCAAAACTGGCGGCTAGTATTGACGCTGACATGGCATCGTTTCCTGTCAATCCATAAGGGCAGAGTTTAGGTAGATAATCAAATGGCGAAGTCGCTATGTAGTCGGTCATGAAATAAGTGCGTGCTAAATCCTCGATGGGCGACGAGATTGATCGATAGCGAACCACCTCACCGTCAGACGGTGGAGTTGAGGACGATGAACTTGATGGAGACCAGTGATTGACCAAAGTCCCAACAGCTTGCCTTGGTGTGGCCGCTATGGTTGGAGTACCGCTCGAACCTGCATGTTGCTTCTGCGCGTCTCCTTCCGCCACTGATTGCGATTGCTGCTTCGTTTTGGCGGGCAAACGCCTCCTTGGTTTCCTATTCTGGACCTTATAAGCAGCGTTGGCGGTTTCGTCTCTAAAGTAGAATTCCGAAGGATCCCTGTAGCCGGGGCAAACTATCTGCTTTCGGGAGCACTGGGTACATCCGGGCTGCAGGCGATCACACTGCAGAACGAGAACGGAAAGAGACAAATGTCAGCCTGGGCTCATATCTGAAGAGTGTGGTTCGTGTTGGTTGTTATAACGGGCTGGAAAACAGCACACAGAAGTGTGCGTGCCGTGGTGTCGTACAGACCGCCAAAGGGACTGACGGGTCGAGGCTCGGGGCTGAGGATACGAGCGGACCAGTCGGAGGGGGAGTTTAGGAACAAGATGGAGTACGAACCCTGAGTCTTCCCTTACGACAGGGGTAGCACGCCTCTGACGGCCGGCCCAAGAAGACCATTCTCAGTTTTCGGTTGGACTTGGGGAAACGAAGTGTGTCGGGCGGTGGTGCGTAGGGGCCGAGACACACTGCAGCAACCCTCAAGAGAGAGACACACTGGCGATATCTTGAGGCAGATGGAGATGTGGTGTCGATACTTTCCTGATTGTGGCTGTGTTTGGGGGCCATCATTAACGTTGAAAGACCGTAGGGATACGGCCGGAAAAGCGGCATAAAGTCGTACATCTTGGCATTGTCGAAACACGATCCCCATTTGGAATGGTCGCGCTTTATGAACAAGCACAACTGGAATTCAGTCTTCACAACTCCACATTTTAAGGCTTGTTTTCAGGTGGCGCAACGGACATTTCAACTGGAACGCGAAGTTGCGGGGTCCAAAGACGGTCAATAAAGAATCAAATTCACGCTAAGCAAGCTCCTATCTATCGCGCAGAGGACTAAACGCCATCCTAGCAGTCAAGCACTGCTCTTGGGAGACAACCAAGACACTTTTTTAACAGAGATCAAAAGAAGATGAGAAAAACACGATAATTACAAGCACAAATCTCAAAAGCCCAGAGAAGCAAGCAAGCCTGCTTGCGAGTCCCTCGTCGGATGCTGAAGAAGTTGCTCAAGATCGAGGAACACGTCCAGGCTTTCATATATGCCCTTCAAAGCCACAGCGACGAGGTTGTCATTCCACACCTCGAACATGGAAGTAGGGGTTTCTTCGGACGATGTGTCTCGGGAATGAGCCTTTTGCAGCAAGCTCCACGCCTGGTTGACGACGGCACGTGCATGCTCGTCAGGACTGTGCATGTCAGAAGACGCGACAGACTCATCGTCATTGCCAGATGGGCCGCCCGGCAAGAGTGGCACATTGTTCGTCCTGGTCTTCTGGCTTCGAGTGTCAGGAAGCGGTGCTT